CAATCTAAACTTACACCTAAGGGAACTAGAGAAAGAAGAACAAACAAAACCCAAAGTAGAAGCAAAGAAACCATAAAGACCAAAGCAGAAATAAATGAGCAAGAAATGAAGGAAGTGATAGCAGAGATCAATAAAACTAAAAGCTGGTTCTTTGAGAAGATAAATAAAATTGACAAACCATTAGCCAGACTCATCAAGAAAAAAAGGGATAAGATTCAAATCAACAGAATTAGAAATGAAAAAGGAGAAGTAACAACTGACACTGCAGAAATACAAAGGATCATGAGAGATTACTACAAGCAACTATATGCCAATAAAATGGACAACCTGGAAGAAATGGACAAATTCTTAAAAAGGTATAACCTTCCAAGACTGAACCAGGAAGAAATAGAAAATATGAAAGACCAATCACAAGTAATGAAATTGAAACTGTGATTAAAAATCTTCAAACAAACAAGAGTCTAGGACCAGATGGCTTCACAGGTGAATTCTATCAAACATTTAGAGAGGAGCTAACACCTATCCTTTTCAAACTCTTCCAAAAAATTGTAGAGGAAGGAACACTCCCAAACTCATTCTACAAGGCCACCATCACCCTAATACCCAAACCAGACAGAGATACTACAAATAAAGAAAATTACAAACCAATATCACCGATGAATATAGATGCAAAAATCCTCAACAAAATACTAGCAAACAGAATACAACAACACATTAAAAGGATCATACACCATGATCAAGTGGGATTTATCCCAGCGATGCAAGGATTCTTCAATATATGCAAATCAATCAGTGTGATACACCATATTAACAAAGTGAAGAATAAAAACCATATGATCATCTCAACAGATGCAGAAAAAGCTTTTGACAAAATTCAACACCCATTTATGATAAAAACTCTCCAGAAAGTGGGCATGGAGAGAACCTACCTAAAAGGCCATATACAACAAACCCACAGCCAACATCACTCTCAATGGGGAAAAACCGAATGCATTTCCTCTAAGATCAGCAATAAGACAAGGATGGTAACTCTTGCCACTATTATTCAACATAGTTTTGGAAGTCCTAGCCACGGCAATCAGAGAAGAAAAAGAAATAAAAGGAATTCAAATTGGAAAAGAAGAAGTAAAACTGTCACTGTTTGCAGATGACATGATACTATACACAGAGAATCCTAAAGATGCCACCAGAAAACTACTAGAGCTAATCAATGAATTGGTAAAGTTGCAGGATACCAAATTAATGTACAGAAATCTCTTGCATTCCTATACACTAATAAACAAAGTTCAGAAAGGGAAATTAAGAAAACAATCCCATTCACCATTGCAACAAAAAGAATAAAATACCTAGGAATAAACCTACCTAAGGAGGTAAAAGACCTGTGCTCAGAAAACTAAAAGACACTGATGAAAGAAATCAAAGATGTCACAAACAGATGGAGAGATATACCATGCTCTTGGATTGGAAGAATCAATATTGCCCAAAGCAATATACAGATTCAATGCAATCCCTATCAAATTACCAATGGCATTTTTTTTACAGAACTAGAACAAAAAATCTTAAAAGTTGTACGGAGACACAAAAGACCCCAAATAGCCAAAGCAATCTTGAGGGAAAAACAGAGTTGGAGGAATCAGACTCTCTGACTTCAGACTACACTACAAAGCTACAGTAATCAAGACAATATGGTACTGGCACAAAAACAGAAATATAGATCAAAGGAACAGGATAGAAAGCCCAGAGATAAACCCATGCCCCTATGGTCAACTAATCTATGACAAAGGAGGCAAGGATATACAATGGAGAAAAGACAGTCTCTTCAATAAGTGGTGCTGGGAAAACTGGAGAGCTACATGTATAAGAATGAAATTAGAACACCCCCTAACACCATACACAAAAATAAACTGAAAATGGATTAAAGACCTAAATGTAAGACCGGACACTATAAAACTCTTAGAGGAAAACACAGGAAGAACACTCTTTGACATAAATCACAGCAAGATCTTTTCTGACCCACCTCCTAGAGTAATGAAAACAAAAAGAAAAACAAACAAATGGGACCTAATGAAACTTAAAAGCTTTTGCAAAGCAAAGGAAACTATAAATAAGGTGAAAAGACAACTCTCAGAATGGGAGAAAATATTTGCAACTGAATCAATAGACAAAGGATTAATTTCCAAAATATATAAACAGCTCATGCAGCTCAATATTAAACAAACAAACAACCCAATGCAAAAATGGGCAGAAGACCTAAGTAGACATTTCTCCAAAGAAGACATACAGATGGCCAAGAAGCACATGAAAAGCTGCTCAACATCGCTAATTATTAGAGAAATGCAAATCAAAACTACAATGAGGTATCACCTCACACCAGTTAGAATGGGCATCATCAGAAAATCTGCAAAGAACAAATGGTGGAGAGGGCGTGGAGAAAAGGGAACCCTCTTGCACTGTTGGTGGAAATGTAAATTGATACAGCCACTATGGAGAACAGTATGGAGGTTCCTTAAAAAACTAAAAATAGAATTACCATATGACCCAGCAATCCCACTACTGGGCATATACCCTGAGAAAACCATAATTCAAAAAGACACATGCACCCCAATGTTCACTGAAGCACTATTTACAATAGCCGGGTCATGGAAGCAACCTAAGTGCCTATCGACAAAGGAATGGATACAGAAGATGTGGTATATATATACAATGGAATATTAGTCAGGTATAAAAAGGAACGAAACTGGGTCATTTATAGAGACGTGGAGGGACCTAGATACTGTCATACAGAGTTAATTAAGTTAGAAAGAGAAAAACAAATATCGTATATTAACACATATATGTGGAATCTAGAAAAATGGTACAGATGAACCAGTTTTCAAGGCAGAAATAGAGACACAGATGTAGAGAACAAACATGGACACCAAGGGGGCAACATTGGGGGGCAGGTGGTGGTGGTGGGATGAACTGGGAGATTGGGATTGACATGTATACACTAATATGTATAAAATAGATAACTAAAGAACCTGCTGTATAAAAAAATAAAAATAAACAAATAAATAAATATACTTCTCAGGAATGTTTCAGAAGTGTTCCTTACCTCCTTGAGCATGGCTCCCGTGGTCTAACTGCACGCTTTCCCACGTGAACTCCATGAGGGCACACATCATACTACATTTAACCGTGTAACCTCTGAGCCTGTCATATAATAAGGGCTCAATGAATGCTTCCTAAACACATCAGTTCTTTTTAAAAATATAATCAGGTTTACTAATCTCTCTGAAGTGATCCCATTTATTTAAAGACAAAAATGATGAAAAATCCAGTAGTTCAGTTATGAACTGAATTGTGTCCCTGTTCCCAACCTACCCCCCAAATTCATATATTGAAGTCCTAACCCTACCTCAGAATGTAAGTGCATTTGGAGATAGGGTCTTCAAAGAGGAAATTAAGTTAAAATTAGGTCATCAAGATGAGCCTTAATCCAGCAGGATTAAGAAGAGATTAGGACACAGACACACACAGAGGGAAGACCATGCGAGGACACAGGGAGAAGAAGGCCACCCACAAGCCAAGGAGAGAGGCCTCCTGAGAAACCAACCCTACAGACACCTTGATCTCAAGACATCTAGCCTCCAGAATCACAAGGAAATAAACTTCTGTTGTTTAAGTCCCCCGGTGTATAGTACTTGTGATGGCAGCCCCAGCAGACGACGACAGGCCTAGAGCCTGTCCTGTACAGGGCATTTTTAACAGAAAGGCAAAATAACATGATGTGTGTATGTGCATGCCTGTTTAGCTGCATACTGCCAAGTAGACAATCTGCTAGATTTTTCCCTTGGCAGGCTGTGCTGGCAAGATTTAGATGGTGCGCTACTCTGTGGAAGGCAGGGCCCACCTCCATCTGGCATCTCCCTGTGCACTAAAATTGGATTTAAAAGAAAAAAGAAAAGAAAGGAAACCTCCTGAGCAGGCTCCAGCTCTACTAGAAGAAAAGCACAGCTTTAGGTTCTGAACCACCAGCCTTCCACCTGACAAAATCCACCAGCCTTTCCCCAGGCTTCCTCTCCATCCAGATCCCTTGTCCAGGGGACCTAGATCTTGAGCCTCCCTCCCTGGGGCTCCGCCCTCCTTCCCACGTGCATTGAGGAGGCTGCTGGGCCCCAGGACCCCTGCTCCCTGCATGAGCACCTGCTGCTCCCGGCCATAGTCACCAACACCCCGCTTCTGTACAGCTATGACACAGTAAGAATCCAGTCATACAGCAACTCCGGGACTCCGAGAGTCTCAGAAGCAATTCTGCGCACAGCCACCTGGGTTTACTGCGTTGGAATTCCATAAATATTTATCTACACTGAGCCTCAGCCAGCCAGCGGGGGCATCAGGCCAGAGTCTGTTCATCTCATGGCAGAGACCAGTGGGAACCAGGGGACAGCACGGGGACCCAGAGGGTCACACACACCTGGGCACCATGGGGAGGATGCGTCAGAGTCCACTAATTGGCCATAGAGGATGTGTCATCATACCAGACTTTCCCATCTAAGTTGCTGAGAAATCTCTACAATGTTCAAGACACTTAACAAACACTGGGTAGTTACATTTGAAAGGAACGCTTAAACTGCTACTCCCTTTTCAACAGATGTGAAGATTTCTAAGCTAGTCAAAGGAAAAGACTTATTTTTCTCTGGATTTAATAACACAGAGCTCCACGAGTGTGGGCTCTGGAGCCAGACTGGCCCAAAGCCTGGCTCCCTCAATTCATTGCAGGGTGATCCTGGGTAGTTAACTCAAGCACTCTGGTCTCACCTTCTTCATCTATAAAACTATAAGACTAGTACTTCCCCCATAGGGTTGTTATATAGCCAAAATGACTTACTACTTGGAAAGCCCCTAGAACAGTACTGTGACCAGAACATAGAAAGCAATAATAAGTGTTAGCTACAAACACAATGAAAGAGAATTTCCCGTAAGAACTGCCAGGTAAGCCCTGAGAGGAAGTGACATACCTTAACTTTGGAGTTCTCTATCAAATGCTGAGCCATGGATTTGATCAAAACTTCAAAGAAAAACCATGAATACTGAAAGAAACAAAAGAATCCAGTAAGGAAAACAACAAATCAGAAGGTGAGACATTTACTCCCTTAGGCTGACAATGTCACTGATGTGAAACAAGTGTGACCTGAAAACATAGCTGAGCCTCTTGGCGAATGGCTGTCAGAGCAGAGGTGCAAGGCAGATGCACCCGCTTCCATGCGTCCAACAGTAAACAATGCTGTACACTCAGCAGACACTCAGCACGGCACAGCCAACCAGAGGTGCCAACTCATTTGCACTGGCCTTTCCTCTCGGTTGGGTCCCACCCGTGGACACTTGCCTTTATAGTCTCTAACTCAGTGTCCTCCAACGGTTTGAATATAATGACTGTGAAACTTTGAACGCAGTAATACCTTGCGGCTCTGTTAGGAGCACAAGTACAAGCAGTGAAGTTGGTACTGAAGAACTAACTCTGTTACCCCCTTTTAGGAGGTGGTGATTGTCTCCAAAAGCACACAAAGAGGGTGAAATCGATCAGGCCATGAAGTCTGAATTTTCTTGTTTCAATACCACAGAGCCACACTGGCCCTCCTGACATACCTTAAGTAGTTTGTTGCTGGTGAGGAAATCGGCAGAAGGCTTGAGAATTGTGGTCATGGATTTGGTCAGCTCTTCATGCACCGTCTTGTATTCGGAAGCAATATACGGCTCAGCCTTATAAGCATACTTTGAAGAAAAGGGAAAGATATTTTAATGCACCGGTTCTCCAAGTTGGGCTGAAAGCTGGAGAGGCTCCAAAGGATGGAGATCTGGGACTGAGATACAACTGCATGGGTGGGAGAGGAGGTGTGGAAACGGAAGTTGGGAAGGGTGGTTGTCATGTGACAGGAAGAGGGAGCCCAGGGTGTCTTCAGGGAGCCCATCAAAACATGTGAATCACCTGACTCAGCTGGTGGGTCCTCCAGCCCAGAACTCCACCTCCCAAGGACTTTAAGCAATGTGTCGCATGACACTCAGGAACTGATTCCCTAAAGCACCCCAATTTTACTTTTTAAACTAATACATAACTATAATTCACAGAGGTGTCAAAGGTTAAATAGAATACATGTAACTTCTGAGAACAGTAAAGGCCACCATGTTCACGGAATATTGTATGTAAATGACAAACTTGCTGATGTTTATCCTAACGGCGCCTCTTACTTTCCTTCATAGTCTTCTAATTTGATGGTGGCCACAGCTAACCTTCCCATCTTTCAATTTCTATGTCATTTGGGTCACATTATTTGCAAAACCCATAAAAGGATGAAATGTAGCTGAAAGAATGAAATTAAGTAAATAAAGGAATAGCTGCCCCTCTCTGGACTTCCCCGCGTTCAGGTGTAAGCACCAGCTATAGGCATAGAAGATAAAGCAGAGGTGTTAAGTTTCATCCCAAATACATCCCCAAATGACTAGATTAAAAAAAGTAAGTCCTCAGAAGGAAAATTGGAGAGCCACAGATTTAAATGACCGGGGCAGTTTCATTTACATACCTTAACATATGACCTCAAGTGGCTCTCCAATCCTTCCTCATGGCACTGGGCAACGACATGAATAATGACCCTACACATCACAGGAATGAATAAAGCAATGAACAATAATGTGAAAATGGAAACATTTCATTATTATCACAGTAGTAGTAGAACAATGACGGTGCTATTGGCACCACAGGAAACGAGGAAACAAGGAATCAGATGGGGTCCCCGCATATGGGATCAAAAGAAATTTCTTAACTATAATGTCCAACATATACTCGCATCCCAGATACGTATGACTGTGCTCCAGATGCGGACAGACCGAAAGGGAAGAAGAGTATCCACCGCTCTCTGCCTCTCTCACCGTGTCACGTTGACGGCGACTTCCTCCTGGGTTGCTCGGGTGAGGACACGGAATAGCTGGTTTAGGATGGTGGGCAAGAAGGCGATCATCACGTGACCTTCCATCGCGTGCAGGCTCTACAGACGTGGAATGGCAAAGTTCGTGTTACCTTTTTAAAAGTAAACCAACCCCAAGAAGTTTCCACTTAGTTCCAAATAAGGATGGAAGAAATCCATCTTAAACAAATGGAGACAGTGGCAGGCAGACTAATGGGCAAAGATGTCCACGTCCTAAACCCCAGAACCTGTGAATGTGTTACATGGCAAAGGGGAATTAAGGCTGCTAATCAGATTAGCTGGCCTTGAGACAGGGGACTCTGCTGGATTATCCAGGTGGGCCTGAAGTAATCACAAGCATCCTTAAAAGCGGAAGAGGGAGGCAGGAGAGTGGGGGGAAGAATGCTCAGAGATGCAACACTGTTGGCTTTGAGATGGAGGAAGGGGCCACAAGCCAAGGAATGAGTGCAGCCTTTAGGAGCTAGAAAAGGACAGGAAATAGATTCACCCCTAGAGTTCCAGAAAGGAACTCAGCCCTGTTAATAACACCCTGGTTTTAGCCCAGTGAGACCCGTGTCAGATCTCTGACCTACAGGAAGTGTAAGAAAACAAATTTGTGTTGTTTTAAGCCACCATTTTGTTGTAATTTGTTACAGCAGCAATAGAGAATGAATAAAAGGCTCTTATTCAAGTCACATGGCTCTTATGATATAGCTGAAAGGGGACCTGGAGCAGTGATTTCAGAATCCCCATTCCATTTTCCTTGCTTAAATCAAACGAATTCCACTTCTCACATTTCTTCTATTTTGTCCCCATGCTTAGATTGCCCTTTTTCGAAATGCTCCCCTAGAATCACGTTCTGGGTGAAACTCCCCTAGACCAACCCTCCTGCTCTCCCTGTTCCATGACTCCAGGAGCCCCCCCAACCTGCCCAAAGCTGGAGTTGGTTATGTGCATCATTTCTGGGTTTTTTGCCCACCTAGCATGCATTCACCAAGTTTATGTTGTCCCCTACAATGAATAAGAAGTTACTTAACAGTGGGACTAAAGTCACTGCTTTTTATGTGCCTGTGACTGTGCTCTGCACCCAGTGAGCACTCACAGGGAGGGCCTCTAAGTGGGTGGTTTTGTACGCGGAATAATGTGTTTTAGGTCCAGCCTGAGAAAAGGATATGTGGGGCTGGAATGAAGATCACAGTGGTATTATTTCCGAGTCCACTTCTTCCCACTATCTAAAACCATATAGATGCCATCAGTGTGAGCGCATCTAGCTAAGAGCAGCCTTACTCACCACCAAATAAAAAAACCCAACCTACTGTACACTCATTAAAAAGGGGTTACTAAGAAAGCTATGTGATACCTTCAGGTATTTTACAAGTTCGCTCCCTAAGGCTTGGGCTCCGGATTCGGTTTTCTGACAGTACTGGAAAAAATTATGGAAGTGCTGATCCTGGGGAGATAAAAGAAGACAAGAAAATGAAAGCTTATTAGCATATCTGCTGTGGAAACAGAAGTATTTGCTTCTTGCAGCATGTATGTTTTATTTAGACTACAAAATATCATATAAAAATGAAAGCATCAAAGAGATAAAAATAAATTTAAAAAAAGATTTCAAAGATCCTCCAACAAAAGAGGAAAACTGTTGAGAAATGTTACTTGTACTATTCATTTATATCATTACATGAGAGCACCTTATATGCACTTTCCTTCTTCAAAAAAGGACTTATAGAGTGAAAATATATCTGTGTAATATATCAATTAGGATTTTATTTTGCCAAAAAATCACGCAAAGCCATTCACAAAGCAATCACTGCTAATTTTAATGGAACAGCGCTTACCTGAGTATACACTGTGGAAACCAGATGAGTTGAAACTTTCAGCAGTGGCTTGCTTCCATCTACCCATTTAATTTCTGGACCATAATGCTGAAAAAATATGGAGGGAAGAAACATCCCAACAGATTAGTGACATTAGCTTCAAACATCATCTTCAGTGAAGATACTGATGAGGTGCTGAAGGCCACACAGCCTCAGTAACTTGATATTTAGGCCTGGCTCACAGCAGGAATGTAACCAGTACTAGTTTCTGCCTACTTCCTGATATTCTAAGCTACCTTTTCTGTGTACTTGCAGCTGTATGAATTACTGTCCATTTGAGAGGGAAAGACTCCCAATACTACCAATGACTTAACCAAACTTGAGTTCAGGGTTCCGAAAGTCATGGCATAAGGTACCAGATAAAGTAAATAGGATAGTAAGTATTCCTGGCACAGGCAAAGGGTCCATCATCTGTTTGTGTTTAGTTTTATTTCTGAAACCTCTGTTTTTCTCGTGTTCAGACTAGGAATAATAACTGAATGTTATATGATTTACCCTTATTTTGGAATATTTTAACTATTTGTTCATAACATGGGCCCAAATCTGGCACTATTTAAATGCAGAGAGATATTAAAAGCCATTCACAATGAAACAGAACAGATCTTAACTAAGCATGTTATAAAACTGAAGTCTATAACATTTAAGATGGCTAAAAAGAATATAAAACCAGCAAACCAATTGGAGGAATCTGAGAAAATTCAAGCTCTAATGAATCAGAAATGTATCAGAGTGGACTACCATGTGGGTGAGAGATTTGCTTACTGGACTTACAATAAGTTGGAAGACAATTCCTAACCATTTGCATGACTCTAAGAACCTATCTTTATTTGAGCACAGCTAGTTTTCAGAGACAAACTTCCATCTCATACAGTACCTCCAAGTTTCCATTTCCCTGCTGAAGTACTGCTAGTTCAGGGCTTATAAAATGCCCAAACTGTAATTCCAGATTGTGATACCTGTTAACAGCACTGCCTTCAAGTGGCCTAAGTTTACTTGAAAATGAATAACTAAAACCAAAATGAGGGACTGGCGAAAATACTGCATGCTTTTGTGTGTTACTGTTGTTTTAGCTGATCTTTAATGCTTTCTGAAGGAACTGCGATCAACCAATCTTAAAGTACTGTACCCTGCCCATCCCAAGCTCCTGGTAGCCAAGGTAGCCGGATGGGAGATTGGCTGAGACAGGGATGTGCTGCTCGCTAGTCACCACCCTTCCATCTTTCAGGAGAGGAAGCCAGGAATATCCAACTGTTGAAATAAAGAACAAAAAAAATCACCGTAAGTGTAGGAAAATGTATGAAGACAGCCATGTTACTAAATTGCCTGATCTTTAAGAACTGTTAATACCAATCAGTAAGAAACTGAAAAGACCCTGAATATAGTCTCTGCAGAACAGCGTCTATAATGTACGCTGGCCTCTTTGGGATTAGAATTCTAAAATTATCTCCTATAAAATGGACGTATGTGAGCCAGGCATGCTACCCTTACAAACGTCATCTAAAAACACCTTCACAAAAGGATGCAAATTCAGAATCAAGACAAAATTTAAGAACCTGATGTGTAAGTTGTGAACAATCAAAGGAATGATGAAATTCAAACCTTGTGTTTCAACAACATCCTTCTTCTTTGTGCTTCCTTTGCTTGAATTATCACAGCTGACATGGAAGAATGTGAACAGCAAGTGGTGCTTTTCATGTAGCTGGGTGGGCAATTCTATTTTAATCTGCAAGGAAGACAAAATAACAATCTTTTTTATATTCTAAAACAATAACGTGTCACCCAGGTACAAACGTGTATTTGCTCTCCAAACTGATTTAACGTTTGCAGTTAAAGAGAGCTGAGGCTGTAAAGTTGTGCTAAGGAAGACATGGATCCTTAATACACTGTACTGGTCTAAATGTTTGTGTCCCCCACAAATGCTTATGTTGAAATCCTAGCTCCAAAGGTGATGGTATTAGTAGGTGGGCCCTTTGGGGTGATTAGGGCATGAGGATGGAGCCCTCATAAATGGCATTAGTGCTCCTGTAAGAGATCCTATACAGCTCCCAGGCCCTTCCTGCCATGGGAGGACACAACTGAGAAGTCTGTGACCTGGGAGGTGGCCCTCACCCAACCATACTGGCACCCTGATCCTAGACTTCCAGCCTCCAGAACCGTGAGCAATTAATATCTGCTGTTTACAAGCCACCCAGTTGGTGGTATTTTGTTACAGCAGCCTGAATGGACTAAAAACATTCACTGACCAAAAAACAGGAGAGTTGGTATTTCAACTCTAGAAAGAACTGGAAAACTCATGACAGAAACCACTTCGTTAACTTAACACAACCAAGGCATAATGAAAAACCAGGTTTAAACATTTAAAAGTAGGATTCACATAGTAGTTTTAATGAACTGCATTGTAATTCTACATAAGGAAACCCAAAAATAAGAAAGGAAGATTCTCAGGTCCAACAAGTATTTAACTATACTTAAGTATGCATTTGAACGGAAATATTAATGGTGGTAGGGATACGGGAGGAAGTTTGAGTTTTTCTTTTCTATATTATCTGCATTTTCCAAGTTCTTTTTATATAATAAATGTTACTTCTTTTTATATAATAAATGTCTTTTTATATAATAAATGTTACTTTTATAATTAGAAAAATTATGTCAAATAAATATTTCAACATTTAGTTCTATTACTGTAATTTCAGTATGCAGCTTCTCTTGAATTCTGGTTTACTAGGCAAAGAAAGTGGAGTTTTCCTTAAAACTGGTTAAACTGGGTTTTCTCTTGAAAACCTCACTTACCTCATCATAAAATTCTGGGTTTTGGTGATGGTGTAGAACTGCAGCAAAGGCGCTTCTTGTGAATACTGGCCCACCAGGTCTGCCATAAATGCACTAAAGTAAGAATTAGCAAAGGGAGACACCAGTCTTCAATTAATAGAGTAAGAAATTAAACACAGATGTGTTGTAAAGAAAGCAGCATTCCTACAGCATAAACTAAGCCACCTTTGATGGATTTCTCCTGCTTACAAGACTCCAGACCCACAAGCCCTCTTACTCCTAGATCCTACCCGCCCCGGCTTATCTCCCAGCCCTCCCCTCCACTCCCTCCCCCACCCCTCCCCCACCCCTCCATGCCCTGGACAATGCCTGCTCACTGCTCACTTTCACCTCCATGCCTTTGCTGACACAAACCCTCAGTCTGAACGACCTTCCCTCCCATGTACAGCAAGCAAACTCTCATGCATCCTTCAAGAAATGATTCATTCCTTCCTGTGTCCCCTCGGCAATTTTTTATACTAATTACTCAGTTTTATCCAAAAAACCATTTCTGTACCTTCTGTGTGCCAGGAGCTTTTCCTCCATGACCGCCTTTCCCACTAAACTGTGAATTTCTTGAGGGCAAAAACTATATTATATTCTTTGCATCTTTATCTCCTTCCCTTTTTGGAAAGTCATTTCCACACAGTTACAGTAAAGAATTTGGGCTCTGGAGCCAGAATGCCTGGGTTTGAACACCGGTTCCACTAATGTATGGCCCTGAGCAATTCACTTAAATTCTGTGCATTAGTTCCCTCATCTAAAAAAAATTCAGATAATAATAGTTCCTAACTCAAAAGACTGTTATGAGCATTAAAGGAGTCTAATTACCTATAGGGCTCTACGAGCAGAGCCTGGAATATAACAAGCACTCAATAAACATCACCAATAATCTACTATTATTATTACATACTAGAATAAACATTTTCAAGTTAGGTGCATGATATGTTTACTGAATTGAACACGTATAAGAAAACCCCCTCCCTAAAGAGTATAACAAAACAGACATTATCAATTAAGAGCAAGAACTCAATTATTCCAAATTCTGTAAGGTTCAGCATATGTGGTTATATTCTGTGATGTCACATATTTTGTGTTTGTGTCAATTAAAATGTGCTAAATCCCTTTAGTTGTACAATATCATGCAACTGCATTTTTTAAATGGAAAATTACAAGCACATAAAATACAAACCTTCAGAGGCTGAGAGTCTTCCTCATCTGAATCTTTGAATTCAATGCAAATAGCAATATTTCTGGCCTGCAGCGATAGTTAAATAATAAAAAAATAAAAAGCCAAAGTATGTAAATATCTATAAAAGAACACGAGAAGCCAAAACCTAAGAGAGCTGGGTATCAAAAATAAAACCTCAATCTTTGCACTCACCTTGGCAAAAGACTTTTGACTGTCATATTTCAAGGACTTAGGATAAACATAAAGGTGGTGGTTGTAGATGGTGTATGGCTGAGTGTGTTTTGGTATGCAGGGCACAAATTCCTCTACCTCAAACGTGATTGGCATTTTAGTACAGGTTTCAAATTGCTTCGTAGGAATGTATGATGAATTGACATAATCTAAAAAAATTAAAAACAAACAAATTGAAGTAAAAACCAAACAAAAACTTGTCTGTTTATTACATAGAACTTACACTTACTAGGAAAGTCTGAGGAAACACTATCAATTGTAATGTCTAGATTGCCCAAAATCACGGGGAGTTTAGCCATCTTCTCAGGTCTACAAACGAAAGAAGAGAAAAATCAAACAGGTTAGGTTAGCTCTGAATTCTAGAGCAGCACTTCCTAGAGAAATATAATGCAAGCCATAAAAGTAATTTTAAACTTTCTAATAGCTACATTTTAAAAAAGTAAAAGGAGACAGGTAAAAATTAGTTTTAAAAATATTTTATTTAACCCAACATTTAAAAAATATTATCTCAATATGTAATGAGTATAAAAAGTGCGTTCTAATTCTTCGAAACCAGGTGTGTATTTTACACTTGCAGCTCATCTCAGTAGGACCTGCTGCATTTCAAGTGCTCGATAGTCACACATGGCTAGTGGCTACTGTGCTGGACACCACAAGTCCAGATAAGAATATTAGCAAAATGTTATAGCAGAAGTTTTCCTGAACCATTCCATCCTCAGCATACATTCTTGGCTCATGTAGATTCATGAAAATTCAGAAGCCATCTTAGGCTCCAATGTCTAGTGAAATGCCAGATACAAAGAAGGTACTCAGTGAAATGCCTGGTTTTTGTATTTGGTCTGACTCCATCCAATAAAGGAATGTCCTCTGTGACGTTCCTGACCTGCCTCAGCCCTTCCTAGTGAAATGGAAATCTTCAACATAGCCGTTTCGATACCCAGACTGCTCTTCATCACAACATGGTAAAATTCACTTCTCTGAAGCTTCCACTCATCAAGGAGCCTAGTTATGTTTCTCTGTGTAACACTTTTAACCATCTATAACAGCTATCACACCTTCCTGAAGTCCTGGATTCTCAGCCCTTTTGCATCTCCCTCCAATGTCATTTCTCTCACATAAGAACATCCCCATTTACATCATGGCTCCCAGAACTGCACAGATAAGGCCCAGTGTGGTCTGCCCAGGTGGGGTAGAGCAGCTGTCTGGTTTTGAACAATATACCCTTCTACTGATGCAGCCAAAATTCTATTACTTTTAAACAGTCACGCCACCCTAGTGACGCACATTAAATTTACAAGCACCTAAACTCCCTAATTTTTTTTTCATATGCTTCACTATCGTGCTATATGTTTCCATCCTGTATTTATACAATTATGTTTTTAGAAGTCAGAACAGGATTTGATTTTTGTCTCGGTGAAATTTTATCTTTTTATGATCGAGTCATTCCAGTTGATCAAAACCCTCCTAAATCCAGATTCTAACATCTAATGTATTAGATATGCCTAACAGCTTTATGTCATGAAGACATTCATCAGCACTTTACATTCTCATAAGAGTCATTGATGAAGATAACGCACAGAATATTGCAAGAAGCAGCTCCTTCTCAAACCTCTAGAGGCCCATCGCCAGACTGATACTAGCCACTCATCATCCCTCCTGGCTTCTGGTCACTCCAGCATTGAACAACTGTCCACTCTCTCACATGCGCTACACTTCTCTGACCCGTTGGTCATCTTAGAATATACACTTTGCATTCCTCTGCTGGACCAGCGTGGCAACCCAATTAAAAACAGAGAAGCAGAAACTTGGCTAGGATAACTTGTTCTACGTGACGTGACTTGTTCCTAGAACACAGAACACTGCTTCCTGGTTCTTCATCGGCCACCTGTTTAATAATGTCTTTGAGAACACTGGCAAGAAACAGCACAGCTCAGTGGCCAACAGATTCAGCATTTGGTTTTGTTCCCAGTTTTGAAAAGTTCCTAACTCCTGTTTTTAAAATTCCTCAGACATTATTGTTGTCTTAAGCAATCTCACATGTAACTTAAAATATATCTTGTGGTATTGTGGATCTGAACCAGGAGGTCCCTAACAGTTCCAAATTCTTGCTTTCATATGACTACAGCCTACATTGAGCATAGTCGTCTTTGCCCATTACCACCTCCAACTTACACAATCACTTTCTCTCAGGGTTCCTCTCATTTCCACTTGTCTTTTGTTTACATCTGAGTTTAAATGAACAATTCCTTGAACTCCTGAGAGAGATAACTGTCAGGAAGGCAAGTCAACAGACATTCATCATTCTGCTTTCAGTTAAAAAGATTGCTGGCCAAAAGATGTCCAGGTACCGTCCAGCACTGCCCCGATACTTTGTCCCTGTGCCACTGTGTGATTTGTTCACAAACACAATACCCTTTTCTTCTAGCAGGAAGACTGTGCCTTCGACAATCATTCCCTGGGAGCTGTCAATGGCTTCCCAAGCACTGTTAACTACCACAATGATACTCCACCAGAGCCTCCCTCACCTTTACCCAAAGCTCTTGGGGCATCATCCCTCAGACCAGGGGGCTTCTATGCAGGTATAAATTTTCTTGACGTATACTGCCTTGCTCCAACTTAACTCTGCAACATACCATAAAACTCTGTGTTGACAAAATCTTAGAGACACCTACAGAGTTGTATCTGCTTCCTTGAGTCAGAAATATTATGTTTAATGTAAATGATACTTTTAAATGTACAATAAGTACTCGAGAGTACTGTATTTCACCCCTTCCTAGTTATTTCTACCTGTGGATAAATATATACCTTCTTCAAGATTTTTTTTTGGATTATCACTATGACATCATGCCCATATAAGTTTGAGAGATTTGGATCTCTAAGCAACAAATTTTAATTAAATTATCTTCATTCACTGGAACTCTTTCTACGATGTGTTACCTACTTCTGTGTCTAACTATACTTACTACTTATTCTGTTTCCTCCCTCTACTGAGAGCTTTATACTTACTTCTTTTTCTGTTTCCTCCCTCTACTGAGAGCTTTTACTTCTAGTTGCTACTCTGTAGTGGCATTATTTCCATTCATTTCCAAGCAAGCACCGATCTGAGCTTAGTTCCATATCAGGTAGCACAGGGACTCTGTGGAAGCTGTTTCTACCAACCCAGTTTTTTAAAACATAATCTTAAACCTATTTCAAAACTTTATGATTTTTATTGAACTTGGCTTATTAGAGATCAAAACGTCACACACATCAAAAATTCTACTGCCTTTTATATGTGCATTTCCAAAGTGACGGGGGGGGGGGATTGTGTGCGCAAACATGTATTGCACAAAGAGAATTCTCTCATATCTGAAATTAGTTTGGATTTTTTTTTAATGCTAAAAATTAGTACCTACATTCTATGTAAAACTTGTAAAAGAATGCTTGAGCACGAAAACCCATCTTAAAACTTCACTGATTAAATAAATGTGTAATGGAGATGCATGTACGGAGCCTGGCATTTGGAAACGGCTTCTGTCTACATGTGAACTTAGGAGTGAGGCTCAAACTCCCTCTCTTGGGAAAAGGAAAGGTTTTCTTTTCCCAATGCCCATACTCCCCCAGAGGAAAGGGCAATGGTATCACAAACTAGCAGTCGTCCCATGCCAAGAGGGTTGGTGTCCTTACCTTTGTGTTTCTGGAGCTTGGCCCTCCCTTCCCTACTTCCTATATTGACCCATTAAAGTGATCAATTGCTAATACAGACATGCTTGGGTGTGTTGTTGGTGTGAGTCTACTCTTCTAACCGCATTTTGTAAAAGGAAATATTCCCTAAAAGCTCTTCTGTCCCGTAAATATATATATATGATTGAAAGAAATTTGAGATATTTTTGTTTAAACAAAACCACTGAATTTATGTCTATGATAAATTTCAATAAGCATCTATCAAGTGTTTACGCTGTGCTACAATGTGCACTACACTAGGCACCGTGGACAGAAGACAAACAGGATCTGATTCCCGTCCTCAAGAAGCCAAAAATCCAGCAGATACTGTCAACTATTTAAGATATATGATGGCAACTACTTCCATAGCGTGTATACAAACGTCTACTGAAAAGTGGAAGGTCTAGATGTATTGAGAAGGAACAGGGGATGAGACCAGTGCTCACGGTGACAGGCATTCTCACTTATTCCCCCCACAGTTCTAGGAGGCAGGGCTATTATTATCCCCCCTTAAAAAGAAGAGGACGCGGGCTTCCCTGGTGGCGCAGTGGTTGACAGTCTGCCTGCCGATGCCGGGCACACGGGTTCGTGCCCTGGTCCGGGAAGATCCCACATGTCGCGGAGCGGCTAGGCCCGTGAGCCATGGCCGCTGAGCCTGCGCATCCGGAGCCTGTGCTCCGCAGTGGGAGAGGCCACAACAGTGAGAGGCCCGCGTACCGCAAAAAAAAGAAGAGGACAGTCAAGCACAGAGGCCAAGTGACCTGCCTGAGATCTCCCATCACGGAAGTGACTTACGGATTAGGCTGCGAACAATAATAATGCCAAACTTGGGTACACAGAATAGAGAGGTACAAATAAACACAAATATGTAAGCCTCATGCAGAAACCCTTATAGTATTATTACCTAAACTACTTAATATGGTAGCATTAAAAAAAGGTCTGCATTTTAAAGAAAATGTTCTATTTTTATACTTTGCCTTCGCAGAAATAAGACAAGACACAGCCATCAGCAAATCAAACAAACATAAAAAACCATATCCCTCTTCTTGGATAGATACTTCCTGGAGCACATATGTTAGCAATACTATCTATCTGACAGAATTATTTTCTTACTAAATCGTGGAATGTCTCCTCTGATAATTACTACAAGGGAGAGGGGCAAAGTGGCTGATGAGCTTTGCCAGCTGTTTTCTAGACACTAGGGCAGCTTCAGAATATTTTTCTCATCCATTGTTAAATGACATTTTGAGACAATCATGGCAGCAGAAACCATAGCTTTGGATCCAAGCTGGTGCCCAAGCCACTGATATGAGATTATTCTTTGTTAAAAAAAAAAGAAAAGAAAACAAAGAGGAAAGAAAAAGAGCAACACTAAGGTTTTTTAAAAAATGAAAAAAGGGATCCTCCACTCCCCTAACTCAACTGTGAAAAAGAAACACTGGCACTTCTTTGGATGCTTACTGAAAAAGGACAGCAGCTTTCCTCATGCCACTGCATTTTCTGCTGCTGACAGCATTGGGTCTCTATTTTCGGGTTTCTGAGTCTCTCGCTGGCCATCTGGACCACACTCTTCCCAGCAAACCCTTCCTACTGAAGGCCTGTTGTGCAGGGAGAACCCACCCTGTGCTCGGGACCAGTGGAGGCTTTGCTCTTTGCTGCCTGGTCACAGGCTCTCTGCTCGGATCATGTTTTGATTGATGAATCTGTGAAGTTCCACCCTCCAGGTTCCACCCAGGAAGCCAGACCTTCAGCTGGGGCCACCCCCAAAGAGCAGCCACTGTGGCGGGAGCTTCAAGCTAACCAGCCTAGGGAGTGACTTCTGAGACAGGGCTCCCAACCCCCATCACACATAAAAAACTTCACTATCTGTTTTGTTGGAATATATGGGTAAATGTTAGTTTAAAAAAAAAAAAAAAGTTCATCTAAAATCATAGAAAGCTACAAAGTGGAAAGTGAAAAATCACCCATAAACCCATCCCTCAGAGATAACCATGACTACCATCTGGTGTATAACCCAAATGACTATTTTTATGTCCTTCTATCTTTCCATCTAGCTAGCTGTTCGCCTATCCATTTCTTCATTTATATACAAAAAAGAAATATATGAAATATTTTCTTTACAAAAATGATGTCACATAGATACACTTTCTCCTCCTTACCAATACAGTGAGCTCACCTTCCTGAGTACACAGAGACCTACATCATGATTGTTGAGAATCGCATGGCAGGCTAGTGAGAGAAAACTGTAATCTATTTAACTAAAGGTGACTAGAGTTTTTTTTAAAAAATCAACTTTTTTTATTCTATAAGCAAGGCTGAAAATTTCCTGAAAATCAAATAAAAACTTAACAGTACTCTATGACAACACAGTATGTATAACAATACACTACCCATTACCAATAAGTAAAGGTTTTTGAAAGATGTTAATTATGACTCTATTTAGAATTCTGAAAAAACACAAGAGAGAGAAGAAAAAGGTGAAAATGAAGTTAAAGAAAGCTAGACAGCCATTCTGAATTCTAGGTAAACTTATATAGTTACTTTGAAATGCATTTTTTTCAAGTAAAAAAATCAGACTGAAAGGCACCTAAGGTATAGAATAGTTACTGGCTGGCTCTTGGCTCTTCTTCTCATTTCATTATCTTTTAATACCCTCAGCTCTGTCTCCTTCCCAGAATTTTCCCAGAGAAATTGTAAAACCCACGTCCCTAGCAACGGAAATCCGCGTCATGGGTTCAGCAGTGAACTTCTTACAGTGGAGCACCAGAACAGCCCAGTGGTTAAGGGCCCAGATCCTCAGCCCCCTGACTGCCACCAGCTGTACAGTGCTGGACACCTCACTCAGCCTCTCTCTGCCCTATTGCCATGGGTTGAATTGTGTTCCCTGAAAAGATGGTGAAGTCCTAGCCCCCAGTACCTATGAATGTGACCTTATTTAGAAACAGGATCTTCACAGATGTAATCAAGTTAAGATGAAGTCATTAGGGTTGGCCCTAATCCAATATGATGTGTTCCTATAAGAAGAAGGAAATTTATAGACAGAGACACACAGGAAGACAGCCGTGTGAAGACGGGAGGCAGAGATTGAAGTTATGCTGCCAAAAGCCCAAGAATGCCTGGGGCTCCCAGATGATGAAAGACACAAGGACAGATCCTCCCCTAGAGATCTCAGAGGGTGCGTGGCCCTGCCAACACCATGGCTTCAGGCTTCTAGCCTCTAGAATTCTGTTCTTTTAAGCCACCCAATATGTGGTGCATTGTTAGAGCAGCTCTAGGAAACAAATATCCTCACTAATATAGGTAAAGCACTTAGAACAATGCCTGTGAACTGTTAAGTACTATATGAGTTACTGTCCTTGCCCCCATCACCCATTCAGTTAATGGTACCATGAATCACTCCATCGTGCAAGTCAGAAAACTGGGAGTTATTTACCTGAGACTACCACCCATTTCTCTCTCCTTCCACCCTAACACCCAATCAGGAAGCCAAGACCCAGTAACTGCACCTGCCTAACGTGACGTGAACTAGTCCTATTTCCTACTCTTCCTATGTCCACTTGCGATGGCTTTGCTGAGTCCTTGCCCACCTCTTGCCAAAGGTTCCTCAATTGTCTCTTTCCTCCCTGGGCTCATCTCTACCCAACAAACCCTTCACAGCACCACCAATAACATTCTTTATACAATTCAAATTAACCAGGTAACTCTTATGACTTTAAACCCCTTCTTCCGGCTCAAGGACTTGAGGAAAAGTTCCACGCTCATCCAACACGCCCTGGTGTATGAGCTGAGCAACTGAAAAGACTGCTCCTGCTTTCTCCCTTTCCACTGAACAACTTCTGTTTTTCAGGTGTGGAAATAAGTAAGGCCTTGAGACTCACTTCCGAAAGTCTGCAAGTAACTTGAGCATGTCTTCATTGGATAGCTTATTGCTGTCTTGCTTGTAGAGAGCAGAAAATCTGGCATTTTTGTCAAGGTTTCCAGATGCATCCTTAAACAACGTCCTGAAATAGCAAAACAACATGTCTAAGCTGTTTGCAAATGACCAAAATAAATCCATAACTTGACTCCGGTTTCTACGTGAAGACTAATTATTATTCCACTGGCTATAGCCCGCAGAAATCTCATTATCTAAAGACATGGAATATATTTATGAGGATGAACACAACTAACTCAATTTACATAGAAAACATTTCCAGCAAATGGCTTGTGCTTAGGAAATAACATACACAGCCAAATGCTTAAGAAATAGAGACCACAAATAAAGAGGATCTGCAGGCCTCACTGGGCTGCCACCCACTCCCAGCTGGAGGCATGTGGCTGGAACCTGGAATCCCAGCTCTGCAACAAACACTCCTGTCCATCCTGCCAGTGCCAACATTGCTACCCTCCAGCTAGCATGTCTCCTCTCTGTGTCTCTAATAAATGATTTTTCAGATATGGAGCTTACTTATTTTTCAGTTTTACATATTTAAATCCTCTTTGTCTCTGGACAAAAAAACAGAATAGGTCAGTCTGTCTGTCTGTCTACTATCTATCTCCATATATCTGTATCCATATAAAAGGAATAAAAGATGTTCTCCTTACCTTGCTGCCCAAGCAAATGGCATTCTGTACTGCCCTAGTCTTTGGCATGCCTGCTTGGCATTCTTCAGCACCTTCTGAGCGACCTTGAAGACATCAGAATAAAACCATGAGTTACTGTATCCCACAGACTAAACAACCTCTTACGGTAGTATCAGATGCATGGAGAAGCACACCTTACTGCAGTGAATGTGGCTGGATGTACACTCAGTGCAGAGTATTCTGCTTCTCACATTCCCTAGCAGCGATTTTCAAAGAATATCAAATGAAAATTGTTTCCAAAATGTATGTCTTTTCTTCGGTCTTCACAGGCAACAAGCACGCCATTTCATAGGCCCTTCTATTTCTTCATGACTAAGGGCTATATATTATGAGTCCACTGAGTTATTAATAATTACTAATACTTGGTATTCATGCCCAAATATATCACATTACTAGAGTTTAAATGAGAATGCTAATGAAAATACTAAGCTTTCGTAACTCCTAATGTGTACTGACTTATGCAGACTCCCCAGATTTGGGGGATATATATTCATTATTAAGACATTACAGGTATTGACTTAAGTTAGGCCAGTGTTTTCAATCACTATGTTCTTGTTTTCTACGTATAAGTTACCATTACTTTCACTTCTAATGACTAATTTTGGTTTGTTGCGGGTGGCTGGATTAACTCTATAGTGCACAGGGAAGCAGATTTGCTTTTGGCCTATGTATGCATGGCAGGTCTACTCATCAACTATACCCCTATTGCTAAAGCAGATGACACCCAATTTCCCCAAATTTGCTTCTTCTGGAATACTGCATTGCTAGCACTACAAAGTGTGACTGATTCAGAGTCAGAGCCGGGGGCTGAAGGGTCTTTTACATTACTTAAGTACATCGGAGTCAAACCAATTTTGGGAAATGTGACCTAGTGCCTGTGAACTAAAGTGTGCTCTGCAGAGCTGCAGCAGCAGCCCCACTGGGAGCCTGTCAGGAATGCAGAGTCTTGGGACCCACCCCAGACCTCCTGGGTCAGAACCTGCATTCTGACCAGACCGCCGGTGATCTGTGTGCGCCAGGTTTGAGAAGCGCTCATCTAGAAGACTCAGAAGGACAACAATAGAGCTCTCTGTCTCTGAGTAAAACTGAAACCAGCTGTGTGAGTCCAGAGCACTAAACCTCTCTGGGCTCTACTTTCCCACCCGAAAAATGAAGAGCTTGGGCTAGACTTGCTATTTTCCGTTCCAGTTACTATACATGATGATTCTACCGTAACCGTGGGGGGGAACTGCTGCCTTCATGAATGACTTGGAAAACACTTCTCGATTCAAACAGGTGTCGGGAGCTCATCCAGCCCCTCCCTTTCTTCTTCAAGTGGGGCATGTCCATGCGGGGACTCGGGGATCATAGAGTAAATGGTCTGCCTTCCTGGGGTGGCCATTTTTACTTACACATTTTCAGGTAGAAATGATTATTTTTAGGTTCTAACAGTAATGACTATGTTGTGGAGTAAAATGCAATATTTGCGTAAAATTTAAAGCCAAAACAGGCCTCAAATAAGTTTCACTCTCACCTGTAGTGAACGAGGACTGAACTCTCAGACTTACTGAGGGTATAAATGGAACACAATATATATAAAAGTCAGAGTGAAAAACTCAATTTTGCCCTTTGGGTTTCCCCCCGCTTTTCTTTCTTTTTTAGAAAATCTATTCGTGGTGGACACCTACAGAGACTACTCCTAAAAATTTCCTCCAAAACAGTAATTTCCTCCAAATGATGTTCTAGACCATCTTGGAAAACATGAAGAGACATTTTGATATACAGAAAAAATCATCCCTCAGCAAAATCTCTACCGAAGCTCCTATTTTTATATGAGATGGTTGAGTCTTAATCTCTGCTTTAATTTACTGCATTGGAGGTGTGAACGCATGGCTGAGCCTTACGTTCCATAAGTAATGAAGCAGGAGCAAATTCAACAGATGCTCAATGGACACTGGGAAGTGTGGCATCTAGCCTGGGGGGATATGTGATTTTCACACCAGCGTGAGCTGCCAAATTTCAAACCATGCACGTGGCAGACAGGAGTAGCAAAGCTGGCGCATACCAAACCTGGAAATGTGTTGCATACATGGCGGGGGAGTAGATTTTATCTTGGGCATTCATTGATTATTAATCAAACCATCAAAGAACTAAAAGAGCTTCTCGTCCAAGGTTTTACAGACTTGATTTTAAAAATAAAACTGTTTCTCTCCAGAGACCAAATTTTACTCTGCTTTTATCAGCCAGAAAGGCATATGTTTGAAGCCACGCGCCTGGGTAAATGGGCTTCTCCTTGACTGGAGCTGTAATAATTGATAATGACATCCTGCTATATGCGTCAGTGATTTAGTACCCATAGCACTGTCTCGTATGTAGGTGTGTGTGTGGGGGTAGCAATATCATCTTTCAACTACAGATGAAACACCTGGGGCCCAGAGAGGTGACATGATGTATCCAGGCTAGTTAGGAGCTCAGCACCCAGGTCTCTGACTCCTGGAACCTGTTCTTTAAAAACCGTCCTGCATCTTGGTGGACACACCTGTGATGTACAGTGGCCAAAGAGAGGAAGGCAGGAAGCTCTGAATCACTCAGAAAACCCCAGTTAGAGCCTCTGGGGTGTCCCCTCCTACTGCTGACCAGTCCTTGTCAATGTATCAGGGTCTCAGATGACCACTAATACAAAATTCTTTTTAAATAACTAAAAGTACTGTGAAACTGGCACAGGACAGCACTCAACAGCTGACTGGAACCAGGTAGCTCAATGTGCTAGAAAGTGACAGTCAAGTGCCAGTTGGCAACTCTAGCTGTGGGACACTGAGCAGGTAACTAAACCTTCATAAACCTCAGCTTTGGGGAGTGTGAAAGGTATTCTTGGCCTAGATGACTTCTAATATTCAATAACTCTACTGTATGTCCACACCTAGGCACTCCCCAGGTAATGAACAAACACCAAAGTAATGAAAACACACCAAACATACATCTTGTACGTCTCCTTTCCCTCTTCCACCTAATGTCACAACACCTCTGCCACCGTAGCCCTGCCCCACCTGACAAAACACAAGTGCGCCTGATCTACTGATACTACCGGCCAGATCATCCGAGCCAGGTCACCTCCTAGTCTCCAGTCTCACATTTAAGTGTAAATGGACCCAAATTTATAATTCCAGGACCTTGGAGACATGCCAACAAGTGGAATAAACTCTATTTAAATACAATATACGTACTTTTTAACGATAGAAAGTTTACTACTAAGCTGGAAATTCCTTTGCCAATTATTTCAGGATGTCAGGATAGTCAAGCCGAATGAAGTATTTTATTTACACATGGAACTACTTTTCACTGAAAATTGGACACATAAGGTTAACTATAAGACAATCTATGAGACTAGTCTACATCTTTTAGAATATAAATATGGCTTAACTGTGATTTCTTTAAGCATTTCTCTATATTTTTTTTCTGATTGCTGTTAATCATCACAAAGCATGCAAGTCATCCATACCTTAGAAGAGTCTGAACTTTTCATGTATGGCTCAGCACCATGTGTGATGCTCCCCTGAAGCACTTTTTCAATTCTAGCCACAAGAAATATATCAGGATGAGGGCACGTGACTGAAAATATTCCCTAGGGAACAAAAGATTTTCTTCCATGAGTAGAATTTACAGCCACATTAAACAAATCCCATAAACATTAAAGATTCTCAAGCAGCCAAGAGCACTGATACAGTACAGCTATTCAGAAGCACCCAGGGCCAAACTGGTTAACTCATCAACAGTTCATCGTCTGATCAAAAAGCCTATTTGGTGGAGGAGGCAACTAGCAGAAAGTTTAGAAAAAAGAAATCAAAAACTACTTCTTCTCTTTCAGCTTGCTTTTACTGTCTAATTATATATGCTGTCAATATAATTAACCGTCTCATTTACCCCAGTTGTGCATTACAAAGTTTCATTACGTATTTACATAGCACGTGCAAGAGAAGCCTTATTGGCATGACCGCTGGGCTCACGCTGCCCCCACCTGCTTCGGATACTGCATGGCGGCTTCGTGAAGGATGTCCTGCAGGGCAGGCGAGCTCTGCCTGCCGCCGTTCATCAGAGACGGGGATGTGGTGGCCAGCATCTGCCTCACTGAGAAATGGTTCAGGTCCACGTGGAAATCGGCAGAAATCTTTCGGTTGTATTTTATGTCAAACAGGGATAGAGTAACAAAGAAAGGCTCGACCTGAACAAAACAAAACAATCCAGACCATCACTATGGCTCAAACTGTCAGGAAATAAGAACACTGCTATCAAAGAATAAATGACTAGACCTACGTATGATTGTTGCTATAAATTACTGCTAAAGAGCAACAGCCTCCATACCTGTCCTGTATCACAAACATCCTGTCCAGGCAGCCGAAACAACCCTCGGCACCCTGATCTAACACCACACCTGTCTGATACCAGGAACTAGGTCTGAATGTCCCAGCTGCATTGCAACAGGCACATCTGAAACCTCTGAATAGGCTTTTTAATCTTTATTTTTTAAAAGGAAAATTACATTTGTAGTGGGTCCTTCTTCATTTTCAGCAACACAGCATTGCAAATTGAAAGATAAATCATTGCACTTGACAAGAATTCTTTTTCCAAACTTTTCTTCAAATGGCTTCACTTCTGGCTCAGCTGATGAGAAGTCAAGCTTCTTTAAAAGAAAATGCAAATATATAAATGTATTATGCTCTCACTAAAAAAAAAAAAGAAAAATCCCATAATAAATGTATCCTAAGGAAATTGCTTAAAATATGGAAATGCTATATACCTTAATTTACTCACAACAGTGTTACTATTTTATACATTTATATAGTACATAATAATGGTCAAATAAATGATGCTGTGTCTACTCAATGGATCATTACGCAGAGCTTAAAAATTATTGTTATGAACAACTCAAGTGTCCATCAACAGAAAAATCTATAAGCAAAATGTGGTATATACATACAATGGAATATTACACAGTCATAAAAAGTGGAGTTCTGACACAAGTTATAACAGGGACGGACCCTGAAAACATTATGCTAAGTGGAACAAGCCAGACACAGAAAGGCAAATATTGTATGCTTCCACATATATGAACTTCTTAAATAGGCAAATTCATAGAGACAGAAAGTAGAATAGAGGTTACTAGGGGTGAGGGGAAGGAGGCATGGTGGGCTGTTGTTTAATGGGTACAGAGTTTCTGTTTGAGAGGATGAAAAAGTTCTGGAAATGGATAGTGGTGATAGTTTTACAGTAATGTGAATCTACCTAATGCCAGTGAATAGTACACTTAAAAATGGTTAAAATGGTAAATTTTATATTATGCATATTTCACCACAATAAACAAAAAATCATCAAAAAGCAAATATATATATATATGTGTGTGTATATATACGGTTATGAAGTCTGTGAAGAGATATAGAAAAATACTTATGTTTAAAGATAAATGGTTAAAAGAAGTTCTATAAAAAGAGCACAAATGAAGAAGAGGAAAATACGGGAGGACACACAGCAGAGCAGTTGGCCCCTCAAAGCAGCCCTATCTGCAGGCAACCCTGGAGGCCCTCCCAAGCCGTGTTTTGGGTTTTTTGGGGATACAGATGTGGACCACATGGACTGCAAGGCTTGTATTTGGAACTGAGCCTGGGCTAGTCAGAAAATATCACAGTCTACTGGGCATCTGTAGCGATGCTTGTTATTTTCTGATGGTGATTTTGGGGGGTAAATTATATATGTTCTTCGTGGACTTGAGAGTGTCTTTGGATAAATCAATTTTCAACAATCTATTAAATATCAAATATTCACAATGGTTGTGCTATGGTAATGAGATTACAGGTTGTTTTTATTTTTTCCTCTTTCTCCTGAATTTTCTATATTGTTATACTGCTTGTTATCCAAAGTATATAAATAAGCAAACAAACAAATAATCTAACAAAGGTTTTCTTTCCTTAACTATTTTAAATATTAAAATCGTTCTTACCTGAGCATCTGGGTCCAAGTAAAAAAGTTTAACTCTGCTTTCACTTTTCAGTTTGATTTCTGCTTCTCTGGTACTCTGATAACAAGATAAACAGAAAACAAAAATTACATTGAAAAGACCCTTTTCTTACAGAGATGTCTAAATATGTTTGAAAGCTACCCCATCCTGAAGAGCCAGACTGCCAGACAGCTCTGCCCTCATCTTGGAGGGTCACCTGCATGTCAATGAACAAGGATAGGCTATCCAGTATGTAGCATACAATGTAAGTGCTATGGGGTAAAAAGAGAAGACTTGATCCCTGCCCGTATGAAGCTGATAATCAACTGCAGCCAAAACCAATGCAAAGAAAGCAAAAGAGAATAATTAAGCATTAATATCAAGAAAAGCTTCATAAAGTCATGGAATAGGGGACAAGCCTTGAATGAAGGGGTAGAATTTAGATAGCAAAAAGGAGGAAAGCATGAGCATTTCAGACCAAATGAAAAGGATGCACAGAAAGGATAGATACTGAGAGAGGAAATGAGCCCAAAGGGTAGAAAGGACTTAGGGTCCAGCCTGAGACTGAGGGTACAAGCAAAGGAAGAGGAAGGCATATGTTTTGGATGGTGGAATAAAGAAAACTGTGGCGTATCTTGAAGGACAGCCATAGGTGTCGGGAGCAAGCAAGGGGAGAATTGCTGATTCACTGAATAAATATTTATGAGCACATATTTTATGTCAAGCTAGGGACACAAACATGAATGAAATGCAGTTCCTATCCCCAAGGAACACCATCTGGGAAGACAGAAAATAAACAGCAATATGAATGGCAAAAGAAATCGTACGTACAGTGAGCTAACCTGCACTAGGGGTGGCCGCCAGGAAAGAGCTCCCAGAGGAAGGCCCATCTTGAAGGACAAGGACATTTGGCCAGAAAAGGAGAGAAGGGCATTCTAAGAGGAGGTACTACAGGTATAAAGGTACGAGTCACACCTGAGCAATCATCAAGTCATTCATTACAACTGAATGGTAGTACATGATGAAAAAAGTAGAGAAATGAGTCAGATTTGTATGGTAAGGTCTGGGGATTTCACTCAGAATCCAAAAAATCCTGCAATATTTTAATCAAGGGAATAAAATTACCAGTTCTGCATTTTAGATCCACCCCTCGGGTAGGGCTGAAGGTCCCTAGGAGGTCCACATGGTCTCTCCTGAGTTATCACAACAGGATCCCAGTCTCACAGCAAGGCCCATAACAAATCCCACCTTCCTAGCTTGGCTGGCCTGCTGACTGGACAATCCACTAATTTGGGAGGAAGAGCAGGTTTGTGGAGAAGATGGTAGAGTCTGGAGATGCCTGCAGGATTTCTAACCGGAAACATCCAGTAGACAACCAGAGAGATGGGACGTGAGCACAGGGTGGGGAGGAAGGCTGGAGTTACAGACCAGGAGAACATCAGCATAGAGGTGAGGATGCAAGTCTTGGGAGTGGGTGAGAGTCCCTGGGGGAAAGTGTGAAAGCGAGTCTGTGGACAGAAATCCAGGGGCCCCAACACTGAAGGGATGGACAGAAGAAGAGAAGTCATTCAGGGAGAGAGACATGGTGGCAGAGATGGGGACTGGAGAAGTGGGACATGGGAACAGGGAGAAGAGGGAGCTTCTTAGACATTCACAAGATAGGAGTCATCTCCAGCCACGTTATGCCACACCTGATGCCTCTAAATCTATATCCTGTTCTTCCTGGCAGTCACAGTTCTTAATAGAATGTCCTCTCTCATCTGCTCCTTTGCCCAAAGACCATGAGTCACACCTCAGCACATAATGGGTGGTGACAGCCACAGGGGAGAGGGCGTCTTGTCCTCTCTGCTGGTGGCTTAAAGAGGTCTACTATTACATTTCTAATCACGGCCAATGAGAAATTAAGCATCTTAATTTTCTCAGCCATGTAGTTGTTGTAACAGGTTCTTAGCAATGACCCAAACTCTACCCTGACCATATCTGACAAACTATCTACATCTAGCAGAATGAAATGACCACCAGAATGCTGGGTCACTAGACCACTGGGTTCTAGTTCTAGTTCAGTTGTTAACTGGCTGCATGAACTTGAGCAAGCCACTTAGCCTCCTTGGACTCTATTTTCATTTCTGAGTAAAAGTGTTCAACAAGAAGATGGCTCGAGTCTTCTTCCACAACAAAGTTTATCTTGATGCTCTCCCTGCAGCTTTAAGGCTTCTGGAGGCTCGGGGCATTCCTACAGATCATCTGCTCATGCTTACAGAGGAAGGGTGTGCCTGTGGCTGGGGACGGGGCTGTGTAGGACAATGTTTTAAATCCATCTTGCCCATCCCCTTATCCTAAAAGGGCCAGAACACGTGCACGTACAATACACTTAACTGAACCCAAAGAATTTGCTTTACTTTGTATACAACCCATGGCGTTTCCCAACAAAAACATCGGTACTAGGTGCTGCGAGCCACCACCAACAGTAATACATTCTCCTGAATTTTTGCTTGAGTCCTTCAACAAGAGCAAACGCTATGATCTCAGACACTGGAGCACAGCAATGGGTTCTTAATGTAGATGGCATTTTCTCATGTCTTTCTGAAAGATTCTTGTTGACTCAAGTGGAGTAGGAGATGAGAAATGAATAAAGCAAGAAAGACTGCTAAGAGCTCTATATAATTAGAAGACAAACAGAGATGCAGACACATTAACAGAAAAAAAAAAAAATCAACAACTAGCCAAAACAGACTCAAAGTATCCTGATGTTGCCATTAATATCCAAGGGATATATTCTTCACTAGAAAAACCACCTAATGGGGAAGAAGGGACAACGTTAGATGTAAAAATAACGTGAAAGCTTATAATCCACCTTGCACACACTGACAGCTCTTCTATGAGATGGATGAAAAGCAGGCTCAGCTTCTTAAAGCTCCTCCCATCCTTCCCAAGGCCCAGAGTGCTTTAAACAGATGGGACGCCTGATAAACAGTGTTTAAAAGAATTACCAAGTAAAACCTAGGCAGTAAGAAAATGTGGCTCGGGAAGGGCAGGGCTTTCCCCCAGAGCCAGGGAATAATAAATACTTAAAAGCATCATAATGATAAAAGCAAATATTTGTTGATAATAGCCAACATCTCTATGCTAGATGTTATCCTAAGTGCACATTTAAATTTGGTACAAACTTAGGAGGCAAGTCTTATTATTATCCTTGTTTAAGAGAAAAACACTGGGGCTCAAGGGGTAAATACTTTGCCCCAAATTCACAACCCTAAGCAGAAACCTGGCTTCTAACTGAGGCTGTCTGGCTTCAGAGCCCAGATTCTTTAACTATTAGACCAGAAAAAAATAGGTAAAGAATACGAACAGGCAAGTCAGAGAGCAGGAAAACCAAATGGCAAATAAATATACAAAAATATGAAAAATACCACTACTAAAACAGTGGGATACAAATTAAAGCAGTGAAACATCATTTTTCACTCCTCTGGTGAGTATGCAGAGAAATGGGAATATGAATTGTTACAACCTTTTGGGAAAGTAACCTGGCAATATTTAAAGCACTAAAAGCACAATAAACTGTGACCCAAAAATCCCACCTTGGGGAATTCCTCATACAGAAATAAGAGCATGAGTATTTCAGCTTATAAATACGTCATGATGTTTACTGTGCACTGTTTGTATAGGCTAAAGACTGAAAATTATCTAGATGCTCATGAATAGGGAGATGGCTGAATAAAGTGTTCAGTATCCATATTTGGAATATTATGCAGCTATGAAAATGAGTGAACTAGATCCTCTATGGCCCCAGGGGAACATCTATGAAAAATTTTTAAGTAATAGAACAAGTTTCAGAGCAATATATATATCATGAGCATATTTTTAAAAATAACTAAAAACACTGCATATGTGTAAATGTTTCCATGAGCAATTGGTTCGGTAAAGAAACAATTATAACAGGTTAATAACATCAGTGCTCTCAGGAATCTGGGGATGGAGGTTGAAGGGAAAAGATGAACTTTTCTTTATACAACTTTGAATACTTTTACTTATTATAGCAAGTACATTTATTTTCACTTAAATTTTAGTAGACAATAAAATAAATTCCTGTAATAAGTACTTTCACAGTCTAAGAGCCCACAAAACATAGCTGTAAAAAAATATCCCACAGGGCTTCCCTGGTGGCACAGTGGTTGAGAGTTCACCTGCCGACGCACGGGACGCGGGTTCGTGCCCCGGTCCGGGAAGATCCCACATGTCGTGGAGCGGCTGGGCCCACGAGCCATGGCTGCTGAGCCTGCGCGTCCAGAGCCTGTGCTCCGCGACGGGAGAGGCCACAACAGTGAGAGGCCCACGTACCGCAAAAAAAAAAAAAAAAAAAAATCCCACAGACTATGCCATCCAGCACTTCTCAAAGTGACAGAGACCAGCTCTGCTCTTAAAATAACCTGTGGTCAGTCCATACCGTAGATGCAGGAAGAACCCAGCTGGTTCTTCCCCAAACCCTGTTGCTGGTCCTACCCACTGCCCGTCTAATAATTCAGTATAGAGGAAAATGGAGAGAGAAAAGTGACAATGACAGAGCCATTCTCTATAAAAACGGACACTTCTCAGACACTACAGAAGAGAATGATTTGTCTAAAACAAAGGCTATTCCCCCCACTCCTGTATTCTCTAAGTTTAATCACTAATGATACACCCTGACAATGTTTTCTTCCTTGTCTTAAGAGGCAGTTATGAACCAAACATTCAAGAGTTTCCAGAAGAACTACCATAAAGTTTAGGCATACCCTGTGTCTTAAGTTTATCTCTGAGCAGGGAAAACAATCAAAGGCCAGAGCATCATATTTTGAGGACGGCTCATCAGGAAAATACTGTGTTGACTGTTGGCTCATTTAAACAGAATGGGTTGCAAACAGGAAGACTTAGCAAAATCCTTTGAAGCCAGAATACATACTTTTAACTTAAAGAGCTGTCATGATTTGTTTCCACTACTTCCATGATATCTAACTCCCAGGGACCATCATCTCATCCTCTGTGTCACAAAGCTATAATAAAGCATTCTAGATAAGGAAGCCCAAGAAATGGAGCGCCAGCTGACCTCACAAACACAACCCTAGCCGGTTCCTTTGTATCACAACACAATGACATAATTTTCTGGATTAGGATACAGAGAAGGAAGCATTTATTACAGATGTGGTTTAAAATCTCAGAGAAGGTGTCTGTGAAACTGTTTGGGTTCTGACAAGTACTGCTGAACTTGGCCTCCTGATGCTCACTCAACTTCAATGAGACCATAAAGTCTGAGACACCAGACTCTAGCCTGTGTTCAACTGTGGAAGATTTACCAAGAAAGGCAAATTCATTCACTATAAAGAAGTTACAAGGTAACAGAATGGGAGCAATTTTGGTTCAACAGGAACCACATGGGGAGGCCAAATTAAGAGTGAGCAGCTGTTTTTTGAGTACACAAAGAGCTCAAAAATAGAAAAGCTATGGAGGAAAATATAAGGTGGGAGCATGAGGGTTTTCTTCATACTACCTTTACACAGGAGGTGATATATATACATACATACATATATATATATTCATTTCAATGTCACCTAAGGTAAATGTAACCAGAAAAAAATATTTATCAAATAAATAGTAATCGGGTTTACCACATGATCATATTACCCCTTGACACTGTAGGGAAGAAATCAATTAACTAACTTTAACTACAGTTTGTGTTTATTTCATAAAAATGTTTATAAGACTGTGTACTCTGATACTATAAATGCTGTTACGTTTAGAACAAACATATGTTTGGCTCCATTTTAGACAATAGGAGGAAAAGAACAGGTTTTAGGGTATACACAGTGTGTCCCCGTAAGAAAACAATAGAGATGTTCAGTACTAAATGTACAAGCAACAAAAGGGCCAAGAACATACAAAATAGTCTGAAAACCTAATTCCATATCACTCCTACTGTATGTCAAGGGCCCCTCCATCACATTCCACAATGAGACACCAGCTATTTTTGTACTAAAACAACTTCCTGTCGTTCATATCCTGTTTGGTTATGTTTCCGTCACAGTGGAAAACAAAAGCCGGGGCAACAGGATGAATGAAGCAGAAAGAGGAATTGACCTGAGTGGAGCCTGCCATTAAATTACACCTTTGCCTGCCCCCACTGTTCTAGTCCTTTCTCTGCAATCTGATGTAACTGTGGCCTGATCTCCCCATGGACCTTTCCCTGGTACTGCCCTCTTAACCTCCTCACCCCGACTAAACTCTCCCTCCTTGCCTAGCTGTGCAACTCGAGCCTCCCTCCCCCTCCCACACACCCTCCCACCCCTATTCAATCTCACACTCTGGAATCCATTCCTTCTAAAATCAGGATGACCAGGTATCAATCAACCTCCTTCCTTTCTTAACAGGTACAAATGATCCCACCCCAGATACACTGGAGGGGGTTATAAATAGTCAAAACCACTCACACTCGGGGCCCTGGATGATGAAGGGGCTGAGAGCCAGGCACACTGGTGCCTGAGCCCCTCACACTGCACTTCTGCCACCAAGCAGGCGGACAAGAGGCATCACCAACAGACACCTGCCCCACAAGTGGGATGGCAGCATGCTGGTGAATAACAGCACACCTTAATTTTCTTTTTTTTTCTCTTCGAAAAATTACCTTCTGCACTTTTTCTACCTTCTTAAATTAAAATGGCTTAAAAACACTTGAGAGCTGGGGTGGGGGGGGAAACAACAGTTAAGTCCCTTATAATGCTGCACTTTTTAGGTTCTGACCATGATCCACAGTTAAGAAATACATTTACATCACAACCCAACACACACATACACAAACACACTCACTCTCTTTCTACATATATATATCAACATATGATATATGCATGATATACACATATATCTTAAATAATATCTATCATTATTAAAGGCAGTGCACTTTACTATCCTCTATTCAATTCTATCCATTTTTTTATTCTGGGTCACATAACGTTGAGCTAAAGAAGCCTGACACAAAGAGTCATATGTATGATTCCACTTTTCGGAAGGTCTAGAATAGTCAAAACTAATCTACAGTCATAGAGGTCAAAACAACGAGAATGTCAGCTGGGACGGAGGATACAAGACAGTCTGCTGAGGTGCTGGAAATGTTCTATATGTTGGGGGTTATGTGGGTGCACAAACGTGAAATCCATCAAGCTATACAATTAGGGCCTGAGCATTTTACTCTATGTAAGTTCTACTTCAATAAAAAAAGAAGACAAAATTTAAAAGTAAATGAGAAATGGAGATTGAAACCAATTAATTTAATTTAATTAGACCAATTTAATTACTTTTTACCAACTAAAACAGCTTCAGCTAACTTGGTCATTACCCACCAGTTTGAAAAACATCTTCAAATATGTTTTATAAATATGTATATATATATATTTTTTTAAAGAATAAATATATGTGATATATATCTCCTTAGGTCTTAGGATCAAGGAATTCTGAAGGCCAGGTAGTAGTAGGCAGTGAGAGAAGAAAGGAAGGCACAACTCCTGTTTGTCTTCACAAGAAAAAAAACATTTCTAATTAATCAACATTAAGCTCAAATAATATGAGTCTTCTCCTAGGTATCCACTGTGTTCACCCAGTAAGTGTAGAAAGTTAACTTTTAAGATTCTAGATTGCACTACATATATTATCTGTTTCAACAGAGATTTTGCTTTGAGAAATCATGAACCCCAAAACATAAGAAAAAAGCGAATCTCAATGCAAAATATGACACATAGAAGTTCATAACATGAAAGCACAAACACACAAGCTAAACTCTTCCCAGCCTAGAAGGAGGTTACAATGGTAGCACTAAAATTAGCTTTAATAGGCAGGTGCTAAAAAGATACTGTGGTAACAGTCAAGTGCTAAAGAAAAACAATGCTCTAAAGTCCTAGCCAGGGAGGGAGATTTTATATTTTAGAACAGCTATGTTGTCGTAAAGTAAAGGTCAATGTTGAATGCTAGTCTATTTATAATGGTATATAGATAAACCATGTTTTCTATTACAGTGTTTAAGATACGGGTGTGTAGCGTCTCTATTTCACTGTATTCACACACACACACACACAAAAGAATAGAAAGGCAATAACAGAGTAAGAATATAGAGGGCCAAAGAAGACAAGGATATTTCTCTCATTTAAAAAGAATTATTCAGAGATGCACACAAGGAGGCAAGTACAAGGATATTCATTGTAGCACTGTTTGTAATAGAAAAAATTGGAAATAATAGAACTGCTAAAATAAAATGCTTACACAATGCAGTAAAGGGTATGAATTAGATCTATATACCAACTTGGATGGATCTCAAAAACAAGGCTAATTTAAAAATAAAAACAAGTACAGAATAATATGTTAGCATTTACATAATATGTTAAACGTACAAAACATAGCCACATATTATTATGATAGATATATTGGTAAAGATATGAAAATCAAATGGAAGTATTTCCAGAAAACTCATAATAGTGGTTGTCTCTAGTTGAGGTTGTGGGGGAAGAAGGGAATGGAATACAGATGATGTTTAAAAAAGAATTTCAAGTATAACTGATATTTTTATTTCTTTAAAAAATGTTGAAGCTGAAAAGACAACACAGTAACAGGTGTTGAATCTGGGTGGTGGGAATATGGTTGTTTTGATCTTCGTGCTTTTCAGTAACTTTTTGAGTTTCTCAAGATTATAAAAAACAGGTATAACTTTTTTTTTTTTTTCATTCAGACTGACCCGGGAAAAATTCATATAACTCAGGCAACCCTCTTTGTTTCAGTAACAAGATTATTACTTATCCATCCTTTTTGGAATTGTCTCTATTAACTTGAATAGGGGAAGCATATGTGTGAACATACTAAGTAACATGTTACTATGGAAACATTTACCTGTGCACCTTGGTTATTTCTTCAATACTTCTAATGTGGCATTAAATATTATGTGGGGAAAACAAAGAATAACAAAAACAGAATACTTTGTAAGGCACTTTCTGGAAAACAAACTCAAATCCGACTTAAGAAGTCAGCCATGTGTTTCACCTCACCAAACGCTGAAGTCAAAAAATAGCAGTAACTACACCATGATTTTAATAATTTACTATAATGTATTTGTTAATCATTTCAATATCATTCTATGAAGAGCAGAAGATTTAAGATGATGTTACCTTGGCAAGTTCAGGCAGGTAGCTATCTAAACCGGAAACGGAACCTTCTATTTTGCTTTGCTCATCATCTAAAACAGCAAAACAGATTACCTAAGTCACTCACAGTTGAAAGCATTTTATTTAAAACAGGAGGAGGAAGGCCGTTTCTCTTATGTGCCCTTTCACACAGTGGTTTGCAACTCTGGATACCCAACAGAAACACCTCAGAGCTTTTAAAAAATGCTGATGCCAAGCCCAGTGGTGATGGCTGGAGCAGCACGGACAGTGTCTAACCAGAACTGTCAAGAGCTATGGACAGCAGCACACATGGCCACACCCACCAGGCACCAGCCCAGGCCAACTAAACCAGAATCTCTGGTGGGACAAAGGAAAGAGTACTTGTTAAAAGTCTCCAGGGACTTCTAAGGCACAGCCAGAGTTGGGAATCACCTGTCCAAGGACCTGAAATAAAACATGAATTGTCAAGAACATAGCCAGATTTTCCCAACCAATTTAATCTGTGGCTTCTGCCCATCCTAACTTTGACTTGAAAATTCCAAAGGATATGATTAATGATAACAATAAAAACTATAATTAGTATTTGAAGTGCCGACTCTATGCCAGGTACTTGAGATACATTATCTTGTTTAATCTTCCCATCGACCAGCAAGTTCTGTTTTGATTCCCATTTTACAAGAGAGGAATCCAAGGCTCTGAAAACATAAGTGGCTCGCCCAAGGTCTCACGGCTGAAAAATGGTATTGCTGGGACTTGAACTCAGGTGTTCCTTTCTGCCTCCAAAGCTGTGATTCTTCTCATTATACAAATGATGTCAGGGTAGGACATTCTACTGGGACAAAATCTTTGCTGACAGGTTATCTCTAAGGAGCTCACGTCTGTCCCACCTCCATGTACCTCTGCAGTAATCTGGCTACTTCCTGTGCCCTCTGCCAAAATAGAAGACACCCGCAGAGTGTGCATGCACCTGGGGAAAGCTATACCTGCCTACCTTCATGAGAGTCTCCGTTTCGCTTTTCTTGCATTGCAGCTTCAAAGTTGAGCTGGAGAATCTTGTTCAGAGTTGTGATCCACTCTTCCATTTCCGCTTCAGTGTCTGCTGCCAAAAGGTAACTACTTTTGTCCTGCATCTTGAGCTCAAAAGCAAAACGCCTGACTTTGTTGTTCTGAAACAGAAAAAGGGTAAAGAGACACATTTCAGAAGAACTGGAACAGCCTTAAAAATTATTCTCTTTATTATCTGCTGATGGGTACTATCTCATCAGCATTTCGGACCAAGTTATTTAAAAAGGCAAGCCCCTTCCCAATAAACCCCCATCTGTATCCACCTTCCCTGAATTATTTTCTTCATGGCTTTATTTTCCCATCTGACACATTACACATTTTACATATTTATTTGTTGTCTGTCCCATCCAATGAAATGGGAGCTCTTCAGAGCAGAGATTTCTTTTGTTCAGTGCTACATCCCTATTTCTAGAACACCGCTTGGCAAATAATAGGCTCTTGAAAAATATCTGAATGAATGAAATTTCATTGAAAATTTTCAGTTCCTCTAGCTCCTATCTTTTTTAATGAAGTAGTATGTGGTATCATATTTTAAAAGCAAACCATTATCTATCAATATGTCTGATTTCCTTACCTGGAACTTTCTCATCATTTATGAGGCCCAAAAGGTATTTAGACACCATGTCTACCTTCCTCCAGCTTCCCTCATGCCTCCAGCTTTTATGCCTGTGAAAGGGTATCTTACTTAAAGTATAAAAACCGCAGTCCATGTGCATTAAATGACGAAGGATGAATGTGCACGAGGCCAGGGTTTCTCCACTTTGGCACTACTGACGCTTGGGGCCAATAACTGTTATGGGGACCGTCCTGTGCACTGTAGCCTGTTTAGAAGCAGTCTGGCCTTACTCCTTAGATGCCAGTAGCATAGCCCCCCAGTTGTGAAGATCAAAACATGTCTTCAGATATTATCAAACATCCCCTGGTGGGTAAAATCGCCCTGGTGACTGCACTAGATAGAGGTTCAGCTCCGAGGAACATGATGACACAAGACTCCTGGTACTTACAGGCTGAGGGACGGTGACATCACAAACTCCCACCAATGTGCGGCGTCCGAGCAGAGCCTTCGCCCACTAAAATTCTAGCTGGTCAGCCGCAGTCCCTGAGGGGGCCCTCAGCGAATGTCTCGGGGACAGGGTGGCCCTCCCAAAGTCGCCTCTGTGACCTCTGCAGCATGGTTCTCAGGAGAGAACTGCTCCCAGCAGAGCATGCAGACCACTGTGCACAACGCCTCACACCTCACTTCACAGAAGGAGTCAGAGAAGGGGTCAAAGGCCAGATATGAAAGGAGTTCTCTCCCCTGCACTCCTCACCTACTCATTACTATGAAAATAAGTTAAAAGTAGGGTGAGCATTAGGCCTTGATTCTGAATTACTCCTCTTTCTGAGCCTCAGTTTCCTTATCTGCAAAATAAGTGTAATCAACTTCAAGGTTCTAAAATACTTTTAGGGCTCAAGATTCGTAACTGGATTCTTTTCAGGTCTAGTTTTAAATTTTAGTATAGGCATTTCTTTGAACTCATAGCATTAATCAGCGCATATTTTTACAATGTCCAAAGGCAATATTAAAAAAAAAAACCTGCAATACTTAAGCTACAACTTTTGGAGGTGAGCTTACAAACAGATGTGGAGATAAAAACAAATTATTTAAACATATTGAAGCCTTAGACACAATTCGTTAAACGTAAAACACCATCAGCCACACCTGCAAAAAGAATATGAAGGAAGGGATGGCCACTGAAGTCAGAACTTTAGATTCCGAAATGTATTCCAGAGACTGAGTGATTGGGGACTCCGTACTGTAAATCATCTATACTCTGCTGAAGATAGGCAACAAAACTCTTATAAAACAAAAGTAATTACTGCTACTTTCCAAATGAGTTGCCAAATATATTTAGTTTTGCTTTAAACATTTTTTTAAAGTCAATGCCAGAAAACTCAACTAAAATGTAACTGAAAAGGTCTCTCAGCTTAAGAATACAAATGAAACTCCCACTTGGGAATCCCACACAAGAAGTTACTTCACTGTCATTGACAATTTGCTCTGGTACTCCCTCCTTTATGCTGTGAATAAACATACTTTGATATAATTTGGTTTCTACAGTGGCAGCTTTCAGCTGAGTTTGGGTTACAAGCTGAGAGTGCCATGTGCCAATTAGCTGTTGATGCAAAAATAATTCTCAATGAATATTAAGTAGTGCTATCACCTTGACCTAGGGTTTGGTCCTGCACTAGAGGACCAAAAACAGTGTTTTGGGGGGGGGTTGTTTGTTTTTAAATTAGTCACCAGTAACTAAAAATACCAAGATTTAACTAAAATTTTGTATTTCTGGTTTTCTTGAACCAGATGAGCTGGCAACGTTGAGCTGGCAGTGCCACCCAGCACATCAGCTGCCCCTTTAAACGGGACCACTTGTGCTCCAGTTTGTCACAGTCCCTAGCATTTCCTATCACTTTACACCCAGGCCTCTTCTTTCACTTAATTTATCTGCTTGGCCCCTGTAGCCAGCTGAGTTTGGACCCCCAACTTCCATGCTGACCACGATGAAGCAACAAGGTCTGGGCTTATTCTCCCAACATAACTACTAGAAATAACTGGGCAAAATAGATGAAACAACTGTTTTTAGGTATTTTGCAACCATCAGGGCAGCCCTGTGATCCCTGATAGAAAGGAAATAGATGAGGTGAGCCCTACCATCACCTCATCACTTTCTGCCTGGAGGCCATATCTGGACCCAGGAAGGTGAGCCTGAACAGAGTCCAACAGTCTTGCTAACTGAGGAGGCTGCCCAGAGTTCAGAAGACCCAGGTGGCTAGAACATGCAGGACAGAGTCTCCAGAACAAGAACAGACTTCTCAGCACAAATGGATAATAGAGATCTAAACTCAGTAAAAATTTATTACATGTTTATTTTCTCCTTATGTCATGCCTTAACAAAAAAGCTTACCAAAAAAATCAAAATCAAGACACAATAACCTAAATTTCAGGTCACCATAGATATGGAGAAGACTGTGAAGAATAGGGAATAACATAAGACTCCAAAGCAACACAAGCATCTAGAAGACAATGGAACGCCTTCAAATTCTAAGGTAAATTTCATCTAACTCTCAAAAAATTAAGATCTTACACGTGATTTCCAGGAAGCTCCTGGAGGATGTGTTCCTCCAAAACAACAAAGGAAAACGAGAAAGAAGACGACATAGGATCCTGGAAACAAGGAATCTGCCACAGGCAGGACAGCAAAGGGAATTTCCAGGACGGTGACTGTGCAGAGGCTGAGGAAGCAGTCGATCCAGCTTAGAGCATGAAGGAGGGCTGCAGGAGCTAAGATCCTCTCTAGCATCACATAATGTCCACAACTGATGAATGAAGAGCAGCGAACACTCCTTATCTAGCAATACGGAGGCAAATCCCAAGAAAAAAAAACAGTGGAAAAAGTTGAAAATGACCATTTCAGGGAGTGGGGAGTAGGTGAAGTGAGGTGATGCTGGCAGGACTGTGCCTTTAGTGCTACCTCTCTGTACTGTTTGACATTTAAACCAGATGAATGTATTATTTGGATGAAAATGCAATTTAATTTTAAGTAAACATGTGAATGCATAAGCAAGTACACCTGAGGGTCAAACCAGAGCTATGTCTCTAACCTTAGTCACACTGGCCCCACAAAACAACCTTTCTTAGAGAACCGAGCTTTGGGCTAATGTCATCAGCAAACAATGAGTCATCTTAAGGAAGAACTCTCTGATAACCGTGACTGCGTCTACTGTGAGGAGCCATCAAGAAGACTGTTCGTTCATCACACAGCGCCCTCTGTATGAGGGCCCCCAAGAGAAACGCCTGAATGGGCTTCATTCTGAGATTACTCGGGCAGCTTCTGACTAATTGGACTGTTTGTATCTACAGACACTGTGCAACTGAACGGGTCTCCAAGCTAGAAAGCGTAGAGCCTGGTTTGTCACCCACCATAGCGGGTGTTAGTTAGGTCTTTAAAATACATGCTTTTTCCTTAACTTAATCCCACTTCATCTCTTCCCTACCCTGACTCCTTTCACACCACTTTAAATTTATATTAGCCTGTGTTTTATGCATCCTTGTAAATTGCTGCTTAGATATTCCTGGAAAACTGGAGGGGAGTGGATGAGTGGATGGACGGACGGACAGACAGACTGGGGAAACTGCCAACCTGCTTTCAAAGGCAATTCTACGAAGGCATGGAAGGAGGCACACCAAACTGGTAATGGTAGCTCCTTGAGAAAGGAAGACATGGGGGTCAACAGGGACTTCTGCACTACCTGTACTGTCTAACATTTCAGAATACAAATACATTCATGTATCATGTATAATTAAAATAATTTTTAAGACTAACTCTACAACTGTAACAGCACTATGATAACAAACCCTAACCCCAACCCTAACATTGGCTGAATGCTTACCATGTGCCAGCACCATTCTAAGCTCTTTACATGTGTTGATTAATCCCTTCCGTAACCATATTCAGTACTATCATTATCCCTACTTAACAAATGAGGAACCTGAGGCACAGAGAAGTTGAAAAATATCTCCAAGGTTATAGAGCTGTAAGGGGTAGAGCAGGGATCTGAACTCAGCCTGAATCTGAAGCCCAGCCTCTTGGCCAATATACTACTGTGCCATTGATACTATCATGATAAAAGTCATCCCAGAGATGCTAAGAACTGTTCTGAATATTTCCAAGTTAACTCATCCAATCCTCTTACCCTATTAAGGAAATATTATCATTATCTGAATTTTGCATGTGAAGAAACTTCAGTTAATAGCCAGTCCAAGGTCACACAGTTAAAAAGTAGCTGAGGATTTCCCTGGTGGAGCAGTGGTTAAGAATCCGCCTGCCAATGCAGGGGACACAGGTTCGAGTCTTGGTCTGGGAAGATCCCACATGCTGCAGAGCAATGAAGCCCGTGCACCACAACTACTGAGGCTGTGCTCTAGAGCCCGCGAGCCACAACTACTGAGCCTGGGTGCCACAACTACTGAAGCCCGCGTGCCTAGAGCCTGTGCTCCACAACAAGAGAAGCCACTGCAATGAGAAGCCCGTGTACCACAACAAAGAGCAGCCCCCGCTCACCGCGACTAGAGAAAGCCCATGTGCAGCAATGAAGACCCCATGCAGCCGAAAATAAATAAACAAACAAATAAATAAATTTAAATTTAAAAAGTAGCTGAGCCAGGTTTTAAACATAAAAACTCATATGCAGAGCACTCGGGCCTCCTACAACATAATTCTGCGTGTGTGCTGTACCCACTATCTTCTAAAATGATGAAAAACAAGCCTTTAGCTCATTTTTAAGTCCTGCTATTACACTTCTACCACGAATACTGCCATTTTTTGAAGTGTTTGCTTAAATCTGCTAATTCATAGATGGTACTTTTACAAATGAGAAAACTCAACGATAAAACTCGCTTCATATTTACCTGAACCACACCCATACAGGAATCCAGAAATATTGATCCTTTTGGTTCCTTGGAGATCTTTTCATCTTTATAAAAATTCAAATTGTAGGACCCATCACCAAGTTGAATCAAGTGGAAAAATCGTCTTTTAAACGACTGAGAGAAAAATACACACATAATTATGGTTTCAAGATGAAAACAGCCACAATCTCTCTCAATAACTCACAAGTACACCCTATGAAAAAACCATTTCAGTTCTCTCCAAAACAAATCTAATTCTGGCCAGCGCCCCAGGTAACTGGGTGAGTTAAGACTCTCCATCACATCTAATACTTTTACTGAATTTAAATTCTGTGGAGTTGGTTCACTAAGCATTCCTGGGTCATCTTTCTCACCCACAGAATCAGGGATTTTTACATAACCACCCAGAAGCGGTGCAGGGAATTCTAATTTGGGATGGAGCTCAGAAGGATGGAAACTTTCTCAAATCCCCAGGGTGTCTTGCTCACACGGAGTAGGAACTGCTCTCTGCCTCACGGAACTGGACGATTTTCCAGCCTCAGGATTCCAACAATCAGCATTTCCCCGATTTAACTTTTATCCCCTGCTCATCCTACCTCACTTCCATTGTTTCTCTTTATTATTAACTCTGGCCTTTCATTGGTCCTACTTCTCTCCTGAATAGTTTTTACACTAGTTTTACTTTTCTCTTGACAACCCCCTTCCAATTTAACCATTTTCCCTTTAGTCCTTGATTTTTGCTTTTCTTGACTTTACTGCAGGAAGACCTCCATGAAAGTGCTTAGGTGTAGCCCCTCGGTGATGTTCTACGAGGTACCAAGTATCCCTTTTGTAGTCAATACGGAGAAGAAAGGCTGTAAGGCGACTGCACCTTCACACCAGCCTTACGATGATCTCATCACGCTGGTGGTTGGAGGGTGACAAGGGGAGCGGGTGGAAATGGGGCTGTACCAGTGGGGGTCGATCACCGATCACCAGGGAGGCATCTCACTCACCAGACAATGTCACTTTTGTCAGAAAAAACAGCATGCCCATTCATCTTGAGCATCATTTCCAAGACCCACAGGAAAAAAAGGGCTTAATAAGGGGAAAGCAGGGTGATGGGCCTCCTTACCCTCATGGTCACGCTTATTGCACTGTTCATGTTGCCTTTGTACAGCCAACCGTGCTTGGTGATCCCACCCTTCTGAGAGCCGAGGGAAGCAGCATCCTAGGAGACAAGGGCAACATCGCAATCAATCTCCCGTTATTACTGATGGGAAATCCATTCAATTCATACCAGGTTGCCCCTCGCCCCTTTACTGGAGTAACTGTCTGGCACTAACACCTACTGTGTCCACTTATCAATAAAAGAGGTGGAACAAGCCTAGTCCATTAAAAAGCAAACGCTAGTCCATTAAAAAGCAAAGCTTGTTCTAGTCCAAGTTTTTTTTCCCCCCCAAGTATTTTAAGTGTTTAATGAGCCACAAAAAGTACATACCATACTTAACCACTCAAGTTGTAAGGTCTCGCCCGGTTTGATGAAAAATGTTTTCACATTACACTCCCATATAGTTGGAGGACAAAAGCAAATTCCTGGAAAACTTCCCAGATGCTTAGTTCAGGGAAAGGTGAATAAGAAAGGAAGGAAATATGAGGCAGGCAATAAAGAAAGCAGAGATAAAATGCTGGGGCAACAGAAATGAGGGAAAGAGAGAGGCAAGACCACAACAGGGAGAGAGGAAAGGAGGAGAGAGAAAAGTGAAGGGCGAGAGCTAGAAAAGTAAAGAAACATGTTTCCTCAAGTTCTGACCCGAACACTGAGATCTGGGTTTAAGGGCATGGGGCTGCCAGCTGCTGCTATAAATAAGTCAGGCTTATATTTGCACATATAATAAGCAGACAGACAGATGAAATATACACACACACAAATACACAATGTGGCAAACCTTCCACCACATCCTGACCCCCGCCCCTTCCTTACTCTCTAAGATCTCTGCCTTGTGACTCTGCCCCCTAAGACTGTGTCCAATACACACTTGAGTAGGAGCCTTAGGAAGAGAGGACTACACTGTCAGGTCACCCAGCTCACACCTCCTGAGGACTAGTCTAATTATGATGTTTATTTTTGTAATCAAGTAGACAACTGCAGAAAGACCTGTCTTATGCTTTGTCTGAGACCACCTCAATTTTTTTTTTTTTTTTTTTTTTTTTTTTTGCGGTACGCGGGCCTCTCACTGCTGTGGCCTCTCCTGTTGCGGAGCACAGGCTCTGGACACACAGCCTCAGCGGCCATGGCTCACGGGCCCAGCCGCTCCGTGGCATGTGGGATCTTCCTGGACCGGGGCACGAACCCGTGTCCCCTGCATCGGCAGGCAGACTCTCAACCACTGCGCCACCAGGGAAGCCCACCTCAATTTTAATATTGGTGGTTTTACTGTTGTTATTATTAGTGATAATAGAAGTAACTTACCTGTCTAGGATTTTACAGTTTGGTGTGCGCTCTTATGTGCATTATTTCAATCAGTCCTCCTCTTACCATTAATCAGCACCAAGTTTTTAATATCTTATTTTTCATTTTGAATGACCACTCACTCTTCCCAGAATATTTTTAAAGTGGTTTCTAAAATAATTTGCTACCATGGACATTGTTAACACTCACAATTAGGCATCTAATACTGAGTAGGGAAGAGTAAGTAATGCGGAGATGGGCAGCACTAACTTTTTATTAGGTTTTCCTTGCTCAGTGGACACGGTCACCTTAATGCCCGGCTCTCTTTATACACTTCTCTGGCCATAACCATTCCCCCAATAGTAGGGGAAGTGGGCTTGTTAAATTCAGAGGTTCTGGGTACTATCTACTTTACTCAGAGCCCTCACTGAAGAAACAGCCATTTAAAATCTACTGGCTGCCAGTTTGTTTCAAATAGCCTGCTGAAAAACAACCTCAACTTAGGATCTAAGTAATCTTGATCTTTTAACAATGTAGCCAAATCTTGTCCAGGACTTTGAAAATGATCTCAGAACAAATAAACAAGGACCAGAGGAACAGGCAATGCTAAGCAGTCAAGTTGAAACAGAGACCTTATTTCAATCAATCAAACAATACATTTTAAAAAAATTCCTCCCCGGTTTCAAGGAACATTCCAATTCCTGTTTTGGCTAAATGTTGGTAATTTTCCAATGAATCTTCTAAATCTGTGAACTAAATCAATCCTTCGATCCGCCAGCAAGCATCCTACCTCATCTTTGTCCACCTCCTCATCAACTTCATAGACATGAACTGGAAGTTTATCCAACTTGGCCACTTTGCTTTAAAAAGAAGAAAGAATCTCGTTTTATAATTACCTAATCTATGAAGAGATGCTGCATTTCTTCCCCCATCAAAGGAACCAGCATTTAACAAATCCAAAGCTGGCCCACTTGGCTAAAGAATAAAAACAACAGATGAAGTTGCTTTTCAAAGTGGGTGATGCAAGAGTTAGAGAGCTCCCAAAAGCCAGGCAGACAAGACGGCATGGCTTGTTGGGAGTTACGTAGATTAAAAATGGGAAAGTGTATTAATAAATAAACACATGGTAGAATAACTTTTAATACGAAGTTTAAATGAGGTCACTCCATCTGAAGTGATCGGAAACCACAGTCTTGATGATGGTATTAACAACAAAACCAGGACAATAACGATATCAGTCATTAAACGGTTATTATGTGCTAGGCACAGTGCTGTACTTCACATGTGTTACCTCCTTTAGTCCTTTAGATGGTGGGGACTGGTGCTAAGACCACTTAACAGATGAGGACACTAAGGCTTACAGAGGGCAGAGTAAGTAGATGATGCAGGCCGACTACAGAGTCTATGTTCTTAATCACTGTTACAACCTTCGTCTCCTTCTCATCACACAACTGAAATTCTTATTAACGCCAAGAGGTAAAATCCACCAGCAGTAAAAGTATATCGTATAAAATACACTGAATCCCCGGTCGGTTCTCTTTCAGTCATGAGAAGAGCATGAACAAACGTATCAGTGAAGATAGCTTTACTGACCAAACAGGAAGAATTAAGTCCCCAGATAAGTACTGGGTACATAGAGAAGTAAGGAGTGTACACATCTGGACAATGCTGGAAGGGAGTGTTCTCAGCTGAGGTTTAAAAAGAGGCAATTGGGAAGTTGGCTGGACGCTCTTAAGGAGTGGCTGAACCACACAAACAGAAAAAACAAACAGCTAGGTCCACTGAGAATAGTATAAACAGTTCAAACTCATAGATGGAACAAACCCTAAGAAAAATTTATTAACAGGGTCTTAATTAAAATTTTCATTGGCAACGGTTACTTTTGAAACACAATCCATCATTATGTGCTTTCAATTTTCATAATAAACTAAAATCTGCCAACTGTGTTATTTCAGGATGTACCATTTTATGACAGATACCCTCTCAAGGCAAGACCTATCTACACCTGGTTTACTTTAACTACTGCTCATCAATCTAAACACACTTGCTTTTGGTATATTTTAGAATGAGTTAATACTTTAAAGGAGGTAAAGAAATTTGGGAAAATGCTTGTTCTCTGATGTACATTTTTTAAATATAAAATTTGTTCAACATAAAATGCTTTTCATGTCTTTTCAAAATATTATTTTTAAGATAAAACACACGTCAGCATATTTCAGTACGCTTACATTTTGTTTTCTGTTTCTCACTGAAAAAAATCTCACTTGTTTTTGTTTCATCAGTGGTACCCTGAGCAGAATCACTGAACACAATTAAACCATCCATGTGTTTCTTACCACCTACCAATTCCCAGAGTACTAGGTTTGAGTACTATTAACAAATACCCTGTAAACAATAGCTAACCCATATACACACAAACCATCTAGAAATATTTTCTCTAATCACTCTGATTGCATGTGAGGTTACACATCTCCCTAGGCATTTCAAGTACAAAGAACTTTCCCTGTGTGTATAACCCCATCTTGTGTGGTCTGATCATTTACTCACTTTGGAAGCTGTCGAAACTCTCCTGAGTAATCTTCATATTTGTAGTTCACAAGATGCCAGTCAGAGTTATAGGTTTTGATGCACTATTTGGGGGGGTGGGGGGAGAGCATTAAAAAAAAAAGCATAAGAGAAAAAGAAAAAAGACATGTGATGACTTTTGGAGAACATTTGGGAAAGTTTATGAATGCACACCCACACCAATATCAAAAATATTCTTTCCCCTCAACCCTCTCATGCCTGAAATGCCACCATTAGAGGTTCCTATGAAGCTTAAGAACCACTGAAACGTTACACTTGGGAGAGGGGTCACTTAGGTCATCGTCATTCATGATCAGATGATGAGCAGATGTTACAAGGAGACAAACCTCACCTCCTCTTGCTGCATTTACATAACAATGTGCTGTTTCTGACTTAAAACCACTTGGCTCCTAAGAAGTCATGTGGGCTTCTAGAAGAACATGAAAGTAAATGGAAAGTGTGAACCTAAAGATACTTTCATAGTATTTACTAATATTAAAACCTGCTCAATAGTCAATATTACATACATTTGCCCTCGGATTTTCATTTTATTTATAAGGGACAGTGTGAGGTAATTAGGAAGAAAGATTTAGATTCCAATTCACAGTGGCACCATGACCTCTTCACGTGTACATGTGTGTGTGCATGTGTACAAATGTACAAAGTATGGAGCAGTCCATTGCCCAGATTCCACAGTGACACCAACCTCCACGGACTGCATTAAACTACCTCGCTATCTGACAAGCTCGACCAACCAGCACGGTGTCTTTCATTCATCTGTCCAGGAGGATCCACTGAGTAGTGTGTAGAGTCTTAAGATTACAAGGTCTCCTCCACCAGATCTTCAAATATGAATGAGTCAAAATCAACAGGTGAAGCATTTGATTTAGTTTCCATCAGCGAACTTGCTTTTCCGTATGGACAGCTCTAGACTACACATATATAGATGTCAGTGTGGCAAAAAATGAATGAATAAAGTGAAAACATAGGTAGTTAAATGTATTAGTCGTACCTAGTTGACTTGACTCTGGCTGAAACATCATGAACAAAGTCTCTATTCTGTTTACTTCACTTTGTTGTTTATACTGTGAACCTTTTTATCTATTTCATACTTCATGCCCGAAGGCTTTCTGAAGCAAAACCCCAAGGTCATGAAAGTACTACAGCTAATGCTTCTTGTGCCAGGCTCTACCTAAGCACTCTATTGGCAAGGTTGTGAACAGAAGGTAGAGTAAGTTTTTTATATTATCATTCTGAGGTGGAATAAAGAGCAGAGAAGGGTTAAAAACAAAGTCAGATGTGGGAGCTGAACAACTTTTCAATTTCTTTGCTAAGTAGTTACAAATGTTTTTAAATACCATTTTATTCTTATAAATGCTTTTTTTTTTTAATTTCAAAGCATTTTCACATTTAGAACATCAGACATCCACACTCAAAATCACATTCCAAAACCAGTATGACTTCAGAATTATCTGTAGGTTTGGGTTTTCCCATCCTATCCCTGGGTCCATTAGCATAGCTAAGTCAGGTCAGACTATGTATGACACAGTCTTGTGGACATGCTCTATTATCTTTGTTCTGGTTTTTCACCAAGCCCTTCAACTTCAACTTTCATACCACCAAAGTCTCTTGTAGGATATTAAACCTATTCCGAAGTATAAAATGTACCTGTCCAATTAAAAATAAATAAATAAGTATACACTTGTACATAATCAGTGCATTTATGAACAGAACACCTGAGTGCCCAGATTTTTAATATCTTAGGGAAAATGGGTAAGAAAGATAATTACAATGTTTAGATATTTTAAATTATAAGGAACTGCAAAAAACACAGTTAACCAGGTTAAGTAACTAGCTTCACTCATTTAATAAGCCATTGTTGACCGCCCACAAGGCAGGCACAGGCAAAATTCCAAGGCAGGTGCACAGAACAAGGCAAGCAACCCGCACCCCTCTGGAGGTGTAGAAAGTCTAGGAGACAAGGGGTTCAATCAGAAATCAGTACGCAGAGAACTGCATCTCTAAAGAGACAGGGCTCTGACTGGGCTGATTTCATGACTGACCTTTCAAACTTGTGAAATTCAATAATATTTTGAAGTTATACTGGAAGGTTTTTGAAGTTTTTTTTTTGTTTTGTTTAAAGCCATTAGGTCATCCTCCTGTGGACAAGAGTACGGGGCGGAAGCGCTATTGCACTCCACCCTGGTGGAAGAGGCCCAAGAGGCTGTAGCTATGTTGGCTCCTGCCCCACAGGGTGAAGTCGCTATTGCCCAACCTGCAGCGATGGGAGAACTTAATGGAGAGCTGTCCCTCAAACATAGTATTTTTTTTAAGAAACTGGGAGAACTGAATTAGTAATTAACAATTTTACTATATGCTTTAAAACAAGGATCAACAAATTTTTTTCTGCAAAAGGCCAGATAGCAAGTTATTTTCAGCTTTGAGGGACACACTGTGTCCATTGCAGCCATTGGTGTCTGAGCTGTAATGTGAAGTAGTCACAGGCATATGTGAGCGAGCAAATGGGTGCAGCTGTGCCGCAGTGTACCTTTCTTTACAAAAACAGGCTGCAGGACAGTTCGCCTAATGTCCTGCTTTAAAATAAACATTTGAGACTCCGTAAACATATTTGGCTGTGTTTGTCTTGCATTAATATTACGAATAGAGTGGTAAAGGAGGTAAGACAAGAAGTTACCTTTTCAGAATGATAAGAGAACAACATACTTCAAAAATTTTAACTATACATTTAAGTTTTCAAAAATCTCAGTGAAACTAAATGTTGTTATTGTAATGGGCCTTCGCTTAGAACAGCATACCTTCCTTTACTGATGGGCATATTTAGCTCCCAAATATCAACTAGAAAAATGGGGATAAAAATACATATTTTTTAAATGAAGGAGCACTTCAAGAAACAAAATTAAAACACCTAACTCGTTCACCCTATCTAAAGGCACCTGTAGGAAGAAACAAACACCTCAAGACAGAACAAGCAAGCAATCTCAAAGCAATAATTTTTCTTTCCTCCTTAACGAAAGAGTCGTTTTCTGTATGTTCAAACAAAAGTAATAATAATCATATATTGATCAGGGATAGTTAGGCTCTGCTCACTGTTACCTGGTACTTCATGAATACTGAACTAATCTTGATAATAAATTACAAGTATAAACATATAAATGAAGTCAATGAATACATAAATGCATGTGCTGAGTCTCCATTAAAAACAATATAACACCATTGTAAAGCAATTATACTCCAATAAAGATGTAAAAAAAAAAGAAAACCCAGCAAAAAAAACCACACAAAAAAACAATATCAAAGTCTGCTAGGTGTCCAGTGAGTTCATTCATTCACAAGTTACTCCTATTCTAAGGCTATGAGATAAGTTTTGTAGAATTCATGTTTTGTCATCAAATTGACCCCGTTGACATTTCTGTCCAAGTTTCAGACTCTGAAAACTTATTATTTTTCTATCCTAACTTCCATCATAAAAATGTAATTACCTCTTTGACACTTTCTTGAAAATATCACTGAAATTTTTACAAGGGGAGGAGGCATAGAAGAAATACATTACCTCTGTAACAAATAAGCTCTGAGCTTCCTGCTGTGCGTTGGCAGGGATGGTGGAGCATACGTACCGCCCCTGTCGTCTCAGGATGGCCGTCTGTGAAGGAAGCACCAGGACACGACTCGGTTAAGTGAAGGCGTTAAGGCGCCAGCCTCCCAGGGCAGTGGGGCCCTTCCCCTTCCTCTGCAGTCGCACCCCGTGGACCCCAGACTCCAGCTGGCTCCTTAAACTTCAAAAGGTGGGGGCAGTGGCTCCCAAGTCCTTCTGGATCACGGGCCCAAGGACCCCTCCAGGCAGGAAAGAGGCCCCTTTCAGAGACCCTAACACTCCCCCACCCCATGTGCTTGATCTAGCCCCACGAAGTTGCCTTTTACTTGCCTGGATTGCGGCAGTTTTAAAACTGTGGTAAAACAGACATAACATTCACCATTTGAACCATTTTTAAGTGTACAGTTCAAGGGCATTAAGTACATTCACACTGTTATACATCCATCTCTTAACTGCCTTTTACAACTGTTCTTATTCACTGCCACATCCCCAGTGGGACCCGTAGCAGGTCCTTAATATTTGTTGACTGAATCTGTGACTGTGAACACTACCTTCCCTCCTGTAACTGAGAACTGCTCCTGTTTCATGAGGCTTACATGCTTATTCTAAATAATAAAATCTCTCATGACTTTAGGCAGCAACACATCTACCCTAATTAACACTGTAGTGTAGGGACTGTAATGTCAATTCGAGTTAACTAGGCCTTGGGCTTCAGGAAGGAATGTTCTAGATTTTTTTCTCCCATGGACTGTAATCCTTGGATACTATTAACAGATCATAGTTATAAAAACAGCACACAAGAAACCAGCTTGTTGACAGAATCTACCCCATTGGTTCCTGAGGCTAATTACTAAGCTGGAATCTCCCAGCATCTGTCCCATCTGTTTTTCTTCTTCCTAAGATTGGAGGAAACTTTGGGTCAGATCTGTGGTCCCTCCTCTGCCAGCACAGGGGAAGAACTCCAGGGCAAACATTTTTTAATAATCTTATTTCCTGCCCGTATTGTCTCCCTGTTGTGTCTGCTTCACCTGTCTTTACTCTTTGCTTGCACTGTGACCATCTTTGAAAGCAATCTTAAATCCTACTTTTAATAAGCCTTCCTTATTCTACAGGAAGAGAAGGAAGGAACTCTGTTCTCTACCAAAGTCCTTCACAGGTGAATTATTAATTCATTCAGCCTCCTCCACGAGGGCTTTCAACACCCTGGCTCTTGGCTTCTTTGTGAAAGTCACAAATGGTGACCCTTCTTACACACCTGGTTCCATGAAATGCCATAGAGATGAATGACAGTAGGCACTGGAGGCATAATCTATTCAAAAAGCTTCAAAGTAAGACATCGATTGTCAAAACTGTTAAGAATCAGGTGTACCAGTAAAGGGAAATTAAGAAATCATGTGCACTTCAAAGAAGGACACATTCTATACCCCCACTTACTGCGTCCTTATCTTGATTTATTTGGGTCTATCACGATTTTTTGAAACTAATTATCATACTTTAAAAATGTTCATGAAATGGCTCAGGTCAAGAAATAGGACTATTAGGGTCATTTCCAGCTCATTCCCCATCAGAACATTAGGAAAAAATAAAATTTATTACAGAATTTTCCTAGTGGAATTACCAACTCAAGAAACTTTAATTATGTGACACTTTTCCAAACACCCCTTTAAGGTAAGAAAAATAATAGGAAATGAAACCTTTTTATTATTGTGGATCAAAGTGCATTACGTTTTCAATTTAAAAAGAAAGCAACTTTACTCATTAAAGATGGACGACTTTTAACAGATAAGAGAGCACTGGGCATAATTAAACCAATCATCCATGTATTTATTACCACCCACCAATACCAGAAGGGTGTTAAGAAAGAAGAACACAGAAGCACACGCTGGTACGAGAGGTAAGAGTCTAAGAGGGGAGTCTAAATCCGACAGGGAGGAGAAGCGGACATCAAGAAGATGAAGACGCGCACTGAGGCAAAGATGCTTAAGCTACACTGTACAGGATGAGTACAAGTTGTGTTTAGCACAAAAAGGAAGAGAAATGTGAAGATAAGCCTACCCTTAGAAAGTTAAAATAACAAAATCAAGTCATAATAGATGAGATTAGCTTTTTGCATACACATAAAAAGCAAACCCATTAAGTCCTAGAATTAAAAAAATATACGCCAAAGAAAAAACTGCCTAAAACTCTAATTAGCTTGAATTAAACATCTCTAAAACCACACCAACCTACAGCCTAGTCAATGGTTTTAACTAGGGAAAGAATGAGCCAACAGAAAGAACAGGGCTTGTATGACCAAAGCAATTTTGTCAATGTCTTTGTCACCATTTAATAGGAAAGGCTGGGATCCATCAGGCTGTGACCCACTGGGGGACTCCTGGACTTGGCTCCAATGAGGAGTCACTGTTTGGTGTCACCAGTTGCCAAGGTCTTTCCTTTTGTTCCCTCTGCTTTGAGTTTAGTCTCACTAACCCACTTGTTTATCATAATTCCCATTTCGACTCTCCTAATCAGAGAACACACAGCCAATGAATGTATTCTGATCTGCTTATTAACTCTAGTTCTCAATGCACATTATTAAATGGTATTCTGGTTTAACTTCTCCATATATTTTATGTATTAAAAGTCACATTCAGGTAATAGTCTACTGTATGTCAAATCGATTCACATTAAATTTCTGTAGTTTTATTTATCTGGCTTATAACAGAGTCCAAATCAGTACCTGCAGATTTATACTCAATGAACACTAAAACTCTTCTCAAATATGAGCTTAATTTTCTTTTTCATGGTTGTGGTATCCTTTCCTACTTTCCTATTAACTAAAATCATATTCCTGCTAAAAGATGGGTCTGTGTCCACCTTGTATAAATTGTCATCAAGGCAGACATTCAAAGAACATCAGTCCCATCCCTTTGTTTGGAAATAAATTATTTCCATTCTACTAAAAAAGCTGTACATCTGCAAGGGGTAGGGGGAAAAAAACAGTGCACACTATGAAGTGTGATAAGATCTGAAAATTAAATCTAAACACAGCTAGCATCTCAAACATCCTTTGGGATATAAATCTCACAGTACAAAATACAATTTAAAGCCGGGCTTCCCTGGTGGCGCAGTGGTTGAGAGTCCGCCTGCCGATGCAGGGGACACGGGTTCGTGCCCCGGTCCGGGAAGATTCCACATGCCGCGGAGCGGCTGGGTCCGTGAGCCATGGCCGCTGAGCCTGCACGTCTGGAGCCTGTGCTCCGCAATGGGAGAGGCCACGGCAGTGAGAGGCCCGCGTACCGCAAAAAAAAAAAAAGCAAAAAAAATAAATAAATAAAAGCCTTCTTCTAGCAACTATAACAGATTCAATTATTTTCAGCCAATATTGTTTCTTAGGTTAAACACTGGCAGTACTTGATGCACAGAAATCCTTAATTACCTTGGCCAAGTATGGGCGTGAGTCTTATGAGGCCTTCCACAAAATTTTAGGACTAATTGAAAAGGTAACTTAGGACTACAAAAGGAGGAGAAGAAGGTGAAGTCCTCTTCTAAAGGACTTATATAATGATGCATGGACACCTGAGAGCCTAGGCCAATCTTTACGGGACTTTTTTTTTTTACTGGAATGAACTGATGAAATGCAGAGGTGCCCCCGATCCGAATATAAAGGGTACAATTTACGACTATCTCCAAGTCTAGTTAGGAGGACAAATTTCAAATAGAGCCTTTTTTATTTTAAAAACTTTTTTTTTCCTCTTGGTTGAAATGATTCCCTCCCAAAACTGGGGTCACTTTAATGGCTATGAGCCGTAATCAGGAATGCGGGATGCTCAGCCCAGGGAAGCAGGGTCCCTCAAGGGAACATACAGAGGTACCACGTTTCCTCACCTGGGCACAACCCCAGGGGCTTCCGGGCATTTCCTGCCCCTCTTCTTCACCACTCACTGCTCTTCCCTGATGGCCTGCTGTGGCCCTGTTTCTTTAGCTTTAACTTGGAATCCCTCTTACTAATGAACTTCCTGCCCCCAACCTGGCCAGGGCTCTGTCTTTCCTCGGTAGGGTGCTGGCTAACACGCTACCTTAACCCCACTGAGGCTGGGAAACCAAGAAGCTCATGTTTCAAACCACAAGCAATGTGAAGCACATAATTTAATTAAACTTCCTATGGAAGAATTTGAGAAGTGATCTTGGAAAGAGGTTGGACTTGAGAGCCAGGAAACCTGAGTTCTCATCTGAGCTCTGCCTCTAATTAGCTGTGTAATCTTGGAGGAAAGTTTTAACTTTCCAAATCCAGAATTTTCTAGGATCTCTAGGTTTTCTTTGTGGTTTAAAAACTCCATAGTTCCATGGAATTCTAAGTCTCTCTCTCACAAGTGGTTTATTATGAGTGCTACGAATTGCTTTGTGAGAAACTAAAAACTTAAAAGACATCCAGAAAAAAGATGAATACGCTGTATCTTTTTTGATTTATAGTCATATTACCCCACTTACTTTTTTAATGAAAGGAATTGTTTTAATGTGTTTTTATGAAAGAAATTGGATTAAAAGGAGGGAAGATTCACTCTGTAGACTTAAATACAGGCGTTAGTATTAACGAAGATGTTCTTTTGTGTCATCATTTCTTTATTTTTCTAATCCTCTCAACTCATAAGGCACCAGATTTTTTTTATTAATCACTTTACAATGGGCATTAAACTATAACAAAACAACCCTCTTAATTCCTGGTGGGAAGTATGCATATCTACTGGGTGTCTAATATGTCATATTTTATAGGACTTACAATTCAGACATTGAAACAAAAGGCCCACCCTTCCCCTGGGACACAGGAACAATGAGCTGGAGACAAAATCCCAGAGAAGTGGGTGGGCTGTAACCTGAGCCAGCTGTGTGGATCTACAAGGACTCTCCCCACCTCTCCTGTCCTAAGGAGCGCAGGGCAGGGAGTGTCCACCCTCAGACAGAAAACAAACATCACGGGCAGCCCAGGAGGGAGTGCGAGCTCAGAAGTGGCTGCTCCTCGGGTGTCCTAAGTAGAACAACTCCGAAGGAAGGCGAGGCCAAAGTGCACC